TGTTGAACTTCATTTTGCTAGTTTTGGCCCATCTCTCTAACCTGTTCAGATCGTTTTGAATTCTGCTCCTGTCTTCTGGAGTAATGGCTATCCCTCCTAATTTGGTGTCACCTGCAAACATCACGACCATGACTTCTGACCCTTCATCTAAGTCATTAATAAAGATGTTGAACAGGCCTGGGACCAGGACGGGATCTTGCTTATGGCATTCCTCTCGTCACTTCTTTCCAAGATGAAGAGGAAGCAGTGGAGAGAGCCTTCTCCTCTGTGGTTCCTCAACTCTGGAACTCATTGCCCAGTGAGCTTAGGCAAGCACCCACCTTAGCAACCTTCAAGAAGAATCTCAAAACCTGGCTTTTCCGTTGTGCTTTTGGAGAGTAACCATACAACTACACACTGTTGCTCCCACTCAATGTTTGTGCCTATAGCACACTTCCCCCTGCCTGTTTGAAGGCCTGTTTTTACAATTTCTCCCTCACAAATAATCTGCTCCACTCCTATCTCATCCTGAGCTTTTAGTATTTTATCTGTAAATGTGGCCCGCTCATTGTCACTGTGATTGCGAATGATTTTTCATTGTATTTTATATTGTTTATTGTATTCTTATGTTTTATTAAGTTTATTGCGTTGTTTGTTATGTGCTTTGTTTTTATTTTATTGTAATGCACTGTTGGGCCTGGCCTCATGTAAGCCGCCCCGAGTCCCCATTGGGAAGATGGTGGCAGGGTATAAATAAAGATTATTATTATTATTGGTGAGCACCCTCTGGGTTCTTTCACCTAACCAATTACAGATCCACCTAACTGTAGTTTTGCCTAGCCCACATTTAACTAGTCTGTTTGCCAGAGGGTTATATTGGACCTTGTCGAAGGCCTTACTGAAATCCAGGTACGCTACACCCACAGTGTTCCCTGTGTCTATCCAGCTTTATTTATTTATTTATTGCACTTCTACCCCGCCCTTCTCAACCCCCCGAGGGGGGACTCAGGGCGGCTTACAAAAGGCACAATTCGATGCCGGCACAACAACAAGGTAAAAATAAACATATGTAAACAGTAATTAAAACAATTAAAACAGTCCATTATACATCACACATCAAAATCACACATTAAGATCGTCTGGGGAGGCCCTGCTCTCGGTCCCGCCTGCGTCACAGGCACGGTTGGCGGGGACGAGGGACAGGGCCTTCTCGGTGGTGGCCCCTCGGCTATGGAATGCCCTACCTATAGACATCAGACAGGCTCCTTTGCTGCTGGCGTTTCAGAAGAAGGTTAAGACTTGGCTTTACAAGCAAGCATTTGGCTAAACAGTGCAACTGAACACAGGAAGACGGTAAAATTGAACATAGGAATGGCACAAGGATTATGAGAATGGATTTTGCTCTGTTATCGAGGCATCGTGAATTGATAATAATTGTTGATTTTGTTGTTGTGTATGATGTGTTTTTAACTGTTTATTGTTGTGATAACCTGCATTGTGTAAACCGCATTGAGTCGCCTAACTAGGCTGAAAAACGCAGTATAGAAATAAAGCAAATAAATAAATAAATAAATAAATCTATAAAACCAATCTAATGCTCAAGGTTTGCCAACTCAGAGTTCATAAATTCAATTCCACACTGTCAAGTCCATCAGTTGTCGTCACTAGTCCTTTGTCTGTCTGCCAGATTACCCAAAGGCCTGGTCCCAAATCCATGTTTTTAATTTCCTTCTAAATGAGAGGAGGGATGTTGGTGACCTAATTTCCCTGGGGAGCGAATTCCACAGGTGAGGGGCCACCACTGAGAAGGCCCTGCTCCTCATCCCCACCAACCTCAGCTTGTAACTCTCATTGAAAAAAGAGATCAGATTAGTCTGGCATGACGTGTTTTGGATAAATCTGTGTTGACTATTAGAAATAACTGCATTCCTTGCCAAGTGTTTACAAGTGCAGTATCTTGCTGTACTACTGCTACTACCACTACATGCTGGCACACGTTCTTGCACGCTTCTTGTTCACAACAACCCCAAGTCACTGTGAGAAGTACGGAGAGGTTGGGCACAACTGAAGTTCCCATTTCCAAAACGCGTTTGAACTAATTTCTCGTGAAATAAACGGGCCAAAGGTCCTACAGGCCAGGCCTTTTCCTCAGAAAGATGCCCATGGAGAACGACAATACTGGCCCCCCAGACAAGGCGCTCCTACACACTTCCCAACCTTTGGTCTCCCAGGGGCTAAGTTGGAACTTCAACTCCCAGGATTCCTCTCGGTTGGCGAAGACGGCTGGGGCTTCTGGGAGTTGAAGTCCCCCCCATACCTGAAAGGTTGGGAGCCCCTATCGAAGAAAGGCAGCTTCCTCAGGCCATGAGGGCCAGGCCTCCCTCTCTCCCACTCCCACCCCCCTTCTCCTCCTTTCTCCTCCCTCGCTCCCGCTCACCGTCGTTATCGTCGCTGTGCCGCCTGCGCGACATGGTCCTTCTTCCTGAACGGCCGGCGAGAGAGAGAGAGGAGGGAAAGAGGCCGGCAGCCAGGCAGACAGACAGACAGAGAAGAGGCCCAGGGCGCATGCGCAACTGACACTTCTCGCGCGCTCGCCGGAGGAGTAGGAGGAGGCCTTCGACGCTTCGAAAAAAAAAAAACGCCCACTGAAAGCCGTGTGTGAGGAACTGCGCGCGCTCCTGCCTGCTCCCCTTCCGGCCCGCGCGCACGCTTCTTCCGGTCGCTTCTGGCCCCGCGCGGCTCTCTCCGGCTACGACGAATGCGCATGCGTACAAAGGGAAGCTTTTCCGGAGCAAAAGAAAGGGGGAAAAAAAAGGACAGAGCACGATCAAGGGATCGTCTACAAATTAATGCCCTCCTGTGGAAACGAATAGAACCTGTGGAAGGAGGGTGAAGGGAAAGGGACTTGGTGGGGCGCCAAGGCTTCTGAATTTGTTTTGTTGTTTATGTTCTCAAACTGGCAACAACTGTTCTTTGGAAGTCAGCAGTGCGTTTCTTTATGGCAGTCACCACTACAATCCTTTTCATTCCCCCTGAAAGGAACCCAAATCCTGCAAAGAAGCTATTGAGGCCTTTTTTTTTTGGGGGGGGGGGGGAGATGTGGTATATAAATATTAAATCGATGCATCTTTATTTATTTGTTTACTTATTTCTAAAAATTGGGACCAAAAGGGCTCGTGCAAGAAAGTACGCCTTCCACATGCAAGTACATATTTCATGTGCAAGTACGTCTTCCACATGCAAGTACACCTATGTGCAAGTACACTTTCCACGTGCAAATATGTCTTTCATGTGCAAGTATGTCTTCCACGTGCAAGTATACCTTCCACATGCAAATACATCTTGCATGTGCAAGTACGTCTTCCACATGCAAGTACACCTATGTGAAAGTACACCTTCCATGTGCAAATATGTCTTTCATGTGCAAGTATGTCTTCCACGTGCAAGTATACCTTCCACATGCAAATACATCTTGCATGTGCAAGTACGTCTTCCACATGCAAGTACACCTATGTGCAAGTACACCTTCCACGTGCAAATATGTCTTTCATGTGCAAGTATGTCTTCCACGTGCAAGTATGCCTTCCACGTGCAAGTACGCCTTCCACGTGCAAGTATGTCTTCCATGTGCAAGTACAGCTTTCATGTACAAGTATACCTTCCACGTGCAAGTACGCCTTCCATGTACAACTACATCTTTCATTTGCAAGTACGTCTACCATGTGCAAGTACGTCTTCCACGTGCAAGTATGTATTTCATGTGCAAGTATGCCTTCCACATACAAGTACACCTTTCACATGCAAATACATCTTGCATGTGCAAGTAAGTCTTCCACGTGCAAGTACACCTATGTGCAAGTACACCTTCCACGTGCAAATATGTTTAATGTGCAAGTACGTCTTTCTCGTGCAAGTACATCTTCCACGTGCAAGTATGTCTTCCACGTGCAAGTACACCTTCCACGTACAAATACATCTTTCATTTGCAAGTACGCCTACCACGTGTAAGTATGTCTTCCACGTGAAAATACGTCTTTCGTGTGCAAGTATACCTTCCACATGCAAGTACATCTTCCACATGCAAGTAACTACCCACAAAGGATTACCACTACCACATCAGCTCTAGATTATTAAATACGGTTTTCTGCAGCTGAGCAGATGGTGACTATTGGATAGTGTATGTTCTGTATCAGAAACGAGAGCTGATGAGGTCTAGCCAATGCAATTTTCTCTTATCAGCATCTCAAATAACCAAACTGAATCTAAAATTGAACAAGAACTGATTCATAACCTCTTTAGTACTAATGTTGGAGAGTGGTCCCTGGTCAAAGTAGTCCCTGGTCAAAAAAAGGTTGGGAACCACTGATTTAAAAGGACAAATTTAAGAATATAATTTTAAAAAACTCTGAAAAAATTATTCTGACTTGGGTTATGAGGTCGACCCATATGTTATATAGGCTCGGATCTTTGGGGGGGGGGGGGGGGAGGCCACCTTTGTCTCCTGGCAACCAATATTTTTAGACCCAATCCACCACTGCCTACACTAGAATGAGTGTGGTTTGGCCTGGTGGTGCAATGGGTTAAACCCTTGTGCCAGCAGACTGCTGACCGAAAGGTCAGCAGTTCGAATCTGGGGAGTGAGGTGAGCTCGCGTCTGTCAGCCCCAGCTTCCCATGCGGGGACATGAGAGAAGTCTCCCACAGGATGGTAAAACATCTGGGCGACCCAGGGGCAACGTCCTTGTAGACAGCCAATTCTCACACCAGAAGTTACTGTCCTTGCAGACGGCCAATTCTCTCACACCAGAAGCGACTTGAAGTTTCTCAAGTCACTCCTGACACACAAAAAAAGGCACCACTTGAACTGCCTTAGCTCAATGCTACACAACATTGGGGAGCTGTAGTATGTACAGAGCAAAAGACTTTGTACATCTACAGCTCCCGTGATTCCATAGCATTGAGCCAGAGCAGTTCAAGTGGGGTCAATCCGCACTCATTCTGAAGTGTAGCCGAGGCACCCTTTTCGGTCCTTTGGCTCTCTCTGAATTGCCAGCAGTCCCTCCAGGGAAGGCTTCCAGGGAGGAGCCTTGCAAGAGAGACAGAGAGCAAGACATGCTTTCTCTTTGCAGAGAGTGCCAGCACATTCAGCTGCCAGGCCAGGAAGAAGAGGAGGAGGAGGAGGAGGAGGGGAAGTCAGTGCTGGGGACAGAGGGTGGCTGCAGGCGGAGAAAGCCCATCCAGGTAAAAGGAAACAGTGCAGCAGTCAAAGAAAGGCTGCGTTTTGCAGGGACCGAGCCATGTCTGCCCTTCCTGGCCCTTTGTGGGACCCAGAAGAGGCCTGGCTCTAGGGGTGGGACACGGCTGCCACCATGGGGCTGCTTGCTGCTTTCCCATCCCATCTGCCTTCTAGGAATGGCCCTCCCCTCCTAGTGTTCCTCCCCATAATGGCCCTGAGAGGCAGGAGAGGCTGAAAGAGAGGCTGGCCAGCCAAAAGTGCCAAGGCCCAGGAAGGAATTCAGTTCCGCATGCCTACACCAGCTTCCTCTGCACTGTAGAAGCACCTTTTAAATGCCCTGGCTCAGTGCTGTGGAATCTATGGGATTTGCAATTTTGCAAGGGCTACTACTTCCCTGCCAAAGAACTCTGGGGCCTTACTGCACTGGGACTGTGGCACAGCGGCAGGGAGTCAGCTGCATTAAGATCACTACTGACCGAAAGGTCATGAGTTCGAAGCCAGCCCGGGTCAGAGTGAGGTTCTGACCAATTTGTGTAGCTTGCTGTCAACCTTTGCAGCCCAAAAGACAGTTGCATCTGTCAAGTAGAAAATTTAGGTCCTGCATATGCGGAGAGGCTAATTTAACTAATTTACGACACCATACAAATATCCAGCAAGCCCGCAAAGAATGAGGAAGTACTCCATCAGTGTCACAAATGGACAGTGAAGCAATAGCTCCCCTGGTGGCCAGAATACCCTCATAAAAAAAAGCTGGAATGTTAAGTAGCCTCTGATTGTCTGTCTATATATGTTGTATGTCTATGGCATTGAATGTTTGCCATGTATATGTACATGTATATGTATATGTAATCCGCCCTGAGTCCCTGCAGGGTGAGAAGGGCAGAATATAAATACTGTAAATAAATAAATAAACAACTCCCAGGATTCCATAGCATGGAGCCATGGAAGCGAAACTGATGTCGAACTGCATTCGTACAGCAGTGTAGATGCACCCTTAGAAAGCCGGCTCAAAGTGAACTTTCTCTCAGATTTCTTCATCATAATGGGAGGGGGGACGGGACATTTTGCTAACACAGGTTGGGTATGCCTTATCTGAAATACTTGGATGCAAAGAAAGTATTATTACTGGTGTATGTTATCATTGTCATATCAAGAATCAAGATAGTATTGATATAGACCAGTGGTTCCCAACCTTTTTTTGACCAGGGACCACTCTCCAACATTAGTATCAAAAGAGTTACAAATCAGTTTTTGGGCAATTTTCGATGGGATTTGGTTGTTTGGGGTGCTGATTCAGAAAATTATACTGGATAGACCACATCAGCTCTAGTTTCCAATACAGAACATATGCCATCCAGTAGTCGCCATCTGCTTACCCCTAGAAACCATATTTAATAAGCCTCAGCACTATAAGAGGGTTTCACGAGACCAGTTGCTCTTGTTGTAATAGTGTAGTAACCGTGAGGCCACAGACCACATTTTAGTTCTTGTGGACCACTGGTGGTCCACGGACTACAGGTTGAGAACCATGTATGTATTTTATCTTTTACAATTTAGCTGTAAATCGCCTAGAGCATTCTCGGATGGAGGGCGATTAATAAGTAATTAAATATGATGATGATGACTTATGCAAAATGCTTGGATGCAAAGAAATAATTACTGTATTACTCTTATATGTTATCATCATTGTCACCATCAAGCATGAATCAAGATAGTATCAATACAGGCCGAGGGCCCTTCCACACAGCCATAAAACCCAGAATATCAAGGCAGATAATCCACAATATTTGCTTTGAACTGGATTATCTGAGTCCACACTGTCATATAATCCAGTTCAGTGTGGATTTTATACAGCTGTGTGGAAGAGGCCTGTGTGTCCCTTATGCGAAATGCTTGGACACAAATAAAAGTATTATTAAAAGTCTTTTGCATTCGTCACTCCACCCCCCTTTTTTTCTTGTAATTTAATCCAATTTTTCTAAACTTTTTACTTAATGAAGTTTTAATTGTGTTTTAATTTGCTTTAGTTATCTATTGGAGGAGTTTTAGGATGGTCATTGGTGTCTATCTGTGTATTTTATGTTTTTGTCTTTTGTTGTTGATATGGGTAGTGAACTCATCAATAAACAGATCTATCTTTGATATATTTATATATTTATAAAATATATTTATATTTTTAATGTACCAAACATGCCAGGTTTGTATGGAAATGTATGGAAATGTGACACTATTTCCTGTGCTGGTCAATGACCGAAATAAATGTTTTGATTTGATTTGATAGAATCATATTTATTTATTTATTTATTTATTTACAGTATTTATATTCTGCCCTTCTCACTCTGCAGGGGACTCAGGGCGGACTACAATGTACATATACATGGAAAACATTCAATGCCATAGACACACAACATATATAGACAGACACACAGAGGCTATTTAACTTTCCAGCTTTCATGAGAGTATTCTGGCTACCAGGGAAGCTGTTGCTTCACCATCCATTTCTGACACTGATTGAGTGCTTCCTAATTCTTTTTTGCTTACTTGCTGAAGATTTTATGGCATTGTAAATTAGTTAAATTAGCCTCCCCACATAAGCGATACTTAAATTTCGTACTTGACAGATGCAACTGTCTTTCTGGCTGCAAAGGTTGATAGCAAGCTACACAAAAGTCGGAAGCTTACTCCGATCTGGGATGGCTTTGAACTCATGACCTTTTTACAGAATAATGATTTTGAGTCTTTTGAGTCTTTGTCTCTTGGTAGCTTTGTGACTGAGGTGTGATTTTAAACAAGGCCGCTAAGAAAGTGTTATACCAACCATGGTGATGCAGGGCTGGATATAGTGTTAATGTGATTATGATTAATTCATATACTCTCCTGAATTAGATTTCCTCAGATGCATGCCCTGGTAATCACACTTGCAAGTTATGCCTGCGTTTACTTTCTAATGACCAGTCACAAAATGAAACACACTACCTTCAAAGAAACACAGTAACTTCAAACCTTGACATCTTTCCCAATGGGAGGAACACCTCTGCAAATCTGTATAAATAAAAATGTAGTGTTTGTTTGTGGGATTAACATAACTCAAAAACCACTGGACGAATTGACCCCAAATTTGGACACAATACACATATCAGGCCAACAAGTGACAATCATGCATAAAAACACTGAAAAACACAGTGGAAGGGCTTACAAAGCAAAAAATACATTACAATGCATGTGCAAAATCACACACATACACAAACACACATATACACAAATATATACACATATATACACAAAAAACACATATACACAGACTAGGCCGCAGCAAGACGTGGCAGGGGACAGCTAGTAAATGATAAATCCATATTGATTAGATTGAATTTTAGCTTATTAGTCATCCAAATTGGCATTAAAGATAAGTGAAGTTAAAAAGGTTTTGGCTTTTGGACTGCAGTTCCCATTTTCCCGCTCCACATTCTCTAGTTGGATTTGTGGGCACAAAGAATCTGGAGGCTTGCAGTGACCCATCATTGTTTTCCAAAGTCATGCCTGCTTTCATCCTTCATTTCTGTAGCACTTTCACATATGCTCTTCGCCTTTTGGAATTATCTTTCTTAGGTCACAGAGAAAATTGTATGCCCAGCTGCTGTGAGATAGCGATGACCTCCTCTTTGTGCAACAGAGAAGATGCTGCAGAGCTTTGCATTTTAACACTCGCAGAACTCGATCTGAAAGAGCAAGCTCCTTTCTCACCCAAAGACCACCTGAAGGCTGAATTAGATGCCAGCACCAGAAAGAAGTATGCTTCTGCAAAGAGAAAGGTAATTGAGGGCCTTTCCACACAGCCACATAACCCAGAATATGAAGACAGAAAATCTCACAATATCTGCTTTGCATTTTCTGCCATATATTCCGGTTCAAAGCAGAAAATGGGGGATTTTATTCATCTGTGTGGAAGGGGCCTGGTTTATTATTAACATTGTTATAACATTTGAAGTTAGAGCTCCAGGGCTGGAACCTCTTCTCTGGTCCATGGGACAAGGGGAGGAAACCTGGGGCAAGAACACTGTTTTTAAAAGTATATGTGAGTTCAATTTATGGCAATCCTATGAATAAGAGTCATCTTACCCACAACAGCCGTGCTTGGGTCTTGCAGATCCCAAATGTGGCTTCCTTGATTGGGTCTGTCCACCTGTAATGCCATCTTCCTCTTTCACTTCTGACTTTTCTAAGCAATATTGTGACATGTTCGCATGATATGGGACTGTCTCTGGAGGATATCTCCCTCCATGAACCAGCCCGAGCCCTCCGACCTTCGGGGGAAGCCCTCCTTTCGCCCCTGCCAGTTTTACAAACTCGCCTTGTGGGCACTAGGGAGAGCGCCTTCTCCTCTGTGGCCCTCCGACTCTGGAACACATTACCTGGAGAGATTAGGAAAGCCCCTACCCTAGAAACCTTTAAAAAGAACCTCAAAACCTGGCTCTTCTGCTGCGCCTTTGGTGAGTAGGTACATAACCTCACACTGTCACTCAGCCTCAACGTTTCTGTCATTGGAGTACACGTCCCGTCCCCCCTCGTGGGAAAGCTTGGTTCCAAAACCCTGTTTTTTAATTGAGCTCCCCTTGCAAATAACTTGCTCTTCCTTTTATCTCACCCAAGTTTTTAATCTTTTTAAAATCACTTTATTCTGCACATGTGGCCCGCCCATTGTCACTGTGATTGTAATTTTATATTGCTAATGTATTTATATGTTTTTTTCTTTTATTATTATGTAATTATGATGTTGTTGCTTGTTGTTTGTGTTCTTGGTTTTACTTTGTTGTAATTTGTTGTTTGGGCTTGGCCTCATGTAAGCCGCCCCGAGTCCCCATTGAGGGAGATGGTGGCAGGGTATAAATAAAGATTTTTATTTATTTATTTATTTATTGGGAGAGCAGCTCTGCCTTCCCCCCACCCTTGCTGAGCAACCCAGTGCAGGAATAGCTATTTTATCAAATAATGATTTTTATATGCGGAAGCCGAAGCATCACATTATAGGCTAATGTGCAGTGGCTGCTTTAAAAGAAGGAGTGGAGTCTGGCTGTTTATCGAGCATTCTCCTCCTTAGGGCCTCTTCTACACTGCCATATAATCCAGATTATTAAAGCAAGATAATCCACACTATTTGTTTTGAAATGGATCATATAATTCTACACTGCCATATAATCCAGTTCAAAGCAGATAATCTGGATTGTATACGTCAGTGACGTGTAGAAGGTCTAGTGTAGAAACGGTTCTGGCCCTACTTACCTCTCTGAACGCATCTACTCCTATGAACGCATCACTGTAGAAGGGGTCAGTGTAGAAACGGTTCTGGCCCTACTTACCTCTCTGAACGCACCTCCTCCTATGAACCGGCTAGGACACTAAGATCATCTGGGGAGGCCCTGCTCTCTGTCTCGCCTGCATCACAGGCGTGCTTGGCAGGGACGAGAGACAGTGTCTTCTCAGTGGTGGCCCCTCGGCTGTGGAACGCCCTGCCTGCAGATATCAGACAGCCCCCTCCCTGCTGGCGTTTCGGAGGAAAGTGAAGACCTGGCTGTTCGGACAAGCATTTGATTAAACAGTGTAGTTGAACATAGGAATGTGGAATAATGGATGATGAGACTGGATTCTGATTTTGCTGTTGAGGCGCTAATGATTGTTATACGGATGTTTAATGATTTATGTTACAATTGTTTTTGATTGACCTATACTTATATTCAGCGGTATATAAATAAAGTAAATAAATAAATAGGAGCCATGCCTGTCATATGAGTAGTGAGGAGTTGAGTCTAGGACCCATGGTTGCTTTTAAGAGATTTAGGCCCCTTCTACACTGCCATATAAAATCCAGACTATCTGCTTTGAACTGGATTATATGGCAGTGTGGACTCGTATAATCCAGTTCAAAGCAGATAATATGCATTGTTTGTTTTGATAATCTGTATTATATGGAAGTGTAGAAAGGATCTCAGATCTTTTTGCAAACCCAAATGTATGATCATCCATTTCACCTTTGTTATCATTGCAGGCATTTGCTCTCTTCGTCAAAGCCAAGGAGATGGTGGCTGAAACTTGCTATCCCATGTCTGCTTGTCAAGGGGCGGTTTTCTGGAGATGCTGCCAGGAGACGTTCAAAGACCTGACTGGCATCCACAGGCATGTCGCTGCCCACCATTCAGGAGACGTGGGGCAGGAAACATTGAGGATATTAAAACAGATGGCAGCTGGCGGTAACAATACCACAAGCAGCCCAGTAACTGTGGATGAAATGCCTCGGCCCAGCCGGCCTCTTTATCGCAGCCAGGAGATGTTTCAGATGCTCCCAGACACAAGCCACATCGATGTTGATGAAATGGCAAGGTAAGGGATCGCTTTTTCAAAAACAGCCACAGCAGCCATGGCCTGAGGGGGTAACAGCACAAGTCTGGTGTGACCAGTGGTGAAAGACATTGCCATTCTTACGTAAGCTTCTTTCCTATGTTGTCAACAACAGTGAGGTTGGGCAAGTTCTGCTTTACTATTGTTACTGCGAGGTGGCAGATCCTGGGGGACTCTGCGCATGGCAGAAGGCTTTATGTCAACACCTGCATCTCACGGGCAAGGTAAGCCATTTAGCACTCTGCCTGATGAACAGCTCCAGTAGCATGGAAAGGGCTCTGAAATGTATTATTGAAAGCTTTCATGGTTGGAGTCACTGGGTTGTTGCAGGTTTTTCAGGCTGTATGGCCATGTTCTAGAAGTATTCTCTCCTGACGCATCTATGGTAGGCATCTCCAGAGGTTGTGAGGTCTGTTGGAAACTTGGAAAATTGGGTTTTAATAATAATAATCATCATCATCTTTATTTATACCCCGCCACCATCTCCTCCAATGGGGACTCGGAGTGGCTTACGTGGGGCCAAGCCCGAACAACAGATTACAATACAAAACATACAAAATTACAATAAAATAGACAACGTAACATTAAACTATAAAACATCAAAGCATATAAACAATATACATAAAACATAAGAACCAAATATAAGGACAAAGAGCAGACTGCATGTACATAAAATGATTTAAAAACTCCAGGTGAGATAAAGGGGTAAAACTAATTGTAAGGAGGACTCATGGAGAGACGGGATAATAAACAAACCTACTGTGGAAAGTCCAGGGTGGGAGAAAGAACTCTTGTCTGTTGGAGCTACGTGTGAATGTTTCAATTGGCCACCTTGATTAGTATTTGATAGCCTGATCCACAGAAACCACAGATAAAAAACTCCGGGGCTAGGAGCTCAGAAATCTGGCTACCAGTATTAAAAAAACTCTAAAATTATAACAGTAAATAAAAAAACAAAACTCAAACAGAGGGGAACTCCAAAGAAGAAACAATCAGAAACAGCTAATCACCTCTCAACAAAGGATTCTCCCAGGTAGTAACAGGGCACACCTAAAAACTGCCAGGCCATCAAATGCTAATCAAGGTGGCCAATTGAAACATTCACACCTAGTTCCAAGAGACAAGAGTTCTTTCTCCCACCCTGGACTTTCCTAAGATATATATACCCCACTTGCCTAGTTTCCAACAAACCTCACAACATCTGAGGATGCCTGCCATAGATGCAGGTGAAATGTCAGGAGAGAATGTTTCTAGAACATGGACATACAGCCCAAAAAACCTACAACAACCCAGGCTCTGAAATGATCTGCCAGAGCCGTTCCCACCAGTCGATATGGCAGCTGGGAACTGATGGCTCCTCTAAAATTCCATATTAGTTCAGACTTCAGGAGAAGCGATTTTCCTTATTAATGAAGAAGTCAGTTGCCTCAGGAATGAAGGCCAGAGCCAGAGTGTCAATTCAATAACTGCCAGAAACAGTTTGGGAAAGTTAGTTCTCTAAACCACAGATCCAAAACTCTGGGACAAGGAGCTCAGAAAGTAATATCACCAAGTTCTGGCCAGAATTATGATAGGCATTGCATCAGATGTTCCCTGGAAAGAGTCTTTAAAAACATCTCTCCTTACCCTTCTTGAGCATTCATCCACAGCAGTGTTTTACACAAAACCGTGTGCAATGTCATAAGGACAAGAGCTGATGGACATATTATTAAGAAAAGGTCTTCCTAAAATCATTCTGGCTTATTTTTGAATATTTAATTATATTTTGAATAGAGCTGTATAGGACTCAGCAAACAGATCTTAGACTGTACTGAACTTTTCTGCTTTGCTTTTCGTCCACTTTACCAGGTACGAATAGCTTCTGAAGGAATTAATGGCACAGTTGGTGGAAGTAAGGTAGCGACTGACTTTTACATGGATGCAATGCTATCTAATCCCCTCTTTAAAGACATTTTGAAGAAGGAAGATTTCAAGGTAAGAAGCAACAACTATGTATTGTCGAAGGCTTTCATGGCTGGAATCACTTGGTTGTTGTAGGGTTTTCAGGGTATTAGGCCATGTTCTAGTAGCATTCTCTCCTGACGTTTCGCCTGCATCTATGGCAAGCATCCTCAGAGGTTGTGAGGTCACATCAATCCTAGATTATTAAATATGGTTTTCTGTGGGTGGTCACATGGCAACTACTGGATGGCATATGTTCTGTATCAGTAACTAGAGCTGATGTGGTCTATCCAATGCAATGTTCTGAATCAGCACCAAAAATAACCAAATCAAGTCTAAAGTTGACCAAAAACTGAGTCGTAACCCTTTTGGTACTAATGTTGGAGAGTGGGCCCTGGTCAAATTGGGCCCTGGTCAAAAAAAGGTTGGGAACCACTGAGCTAGTCAGAAACAAAAATGGGATGATTACCCATATTCTTCAAATAATCTTCAGCTCTTTGGTGGTGGAGAAAACATTGAATCATTTTTTTGTCTCTACTTAACTAAGGATCTTTTCATTTGTACTTTTTTCTTTTCTTCACATTCCTCAGACCAGCAAAGGAGGTGCTCACTGCTTCCCAGACCTTCGAATAGGTGTCTTTGAAGAAATAGTCCCCATGGGCATCAGCCCAAAGAAAGTCTCTTACAAAGAAACTGGTATGGAGAGTCATTCTTATTAACCTTAGAATAGGAATGAAGAATTCTGTTTTTGTCCATGATGGGAATAATCTGTTTCACGGTGGGCACTGGGTGGAGCCAAAAATTAAAATAAGCAGTGCCGTTCCTTTTATCCACCTGTCCCTTTATATGTATGAGTGTGGAACGGTGGAGTAACTGCTTTTGCCAGAGGTCTGGGCTGATCACTTTAGGCCCCATCTATGCTGCCATATAAAATCCATCGTATCTGCTTTGAACTGGATTACATGGCAGTGTAGACTCATATAATCCAGTTCAAAGCAGATAACTGGATTATATGGCAGTGTAGAAGGGGCCTTGAAAGAGAGCTTACGTGTGGTTGTAGGGCTGCAAATTGCCCACTTTTATTTTATTTATTTATTTATTTATTTACAGTTTTTATATTCCGCCCTTCTCACTCCGCAGGGTCCTCAGGGCGGATTACAGTATACACATATATGGCAAACATTCAATGCCAGTTTGACAAACAACGTATAACAGACAATACACAGAGGCTATTTAACTTTTTTTTTTCTGGCCGCCAGGGGAGCTGCTGCTTTTCATCGTCCATCAGCGACACCGATGAAGTTCTTCCGCATTCCACATTCCCCGGAGTCTTTTTTTCTTTATGGCCTCATAAATTCGTTAATTTAGCCTCCCACACAAGGTGGTACCTTATTTTCCCACTTGACAGATGCAACTGTCTTTCGGGTTGCAAAGGTCGACAACAGGCTACACAATGGCTGGACACCCACTCCAGCCCGGGCTGGCTTCGAACTCATGACCTTTTGGTCAGAGTGATCTTAATGCAGCTGACACTCAGCCAGCTGCGCCACAATCCCGGTGCAGAAATGAGAACCAAATGGGCAGGGACTCCACTATAAAAGAAAACAACGACTGCTCATAGCTCTACTTATAAGTATGGCAGCTCTCTTGCATTAAACGGGACTTCCTACTGAGTGACCTAGGCCCCGTCTACACTGACCATTTAATGCAGTTTCAAACCAGTGTGGAAGAACGTGGCTTCACTATGCAGATGAATACATAGTATATCCTGAAACCAGTTTGAGATCTGGATGGTAGTTACACGAACCACAGAGCACTGATGTGCATTAAGGGCTTTCTTTTGCACACTTTTGTGGGGGTTTCTAGATGGGCCATTAAACTGTCAGCGTAAATGGTGGCCCAAGATTAATCTTTGCTTGAAGTTGGGTTCTGGTGCTAGGGTGGCGCCACTCCAAGTATCCTCCTTCTGATTGTGAGATTTCTGTCCTGGGTGTAATATGTATGCATTTACAATGCTCTGGACTACAATGCCTCTGTAGAACAAGTGAGCATATGGAACTCTTCCGTCATGGTTTTTATTTATTTAAGTATTTATTTATAGCAGTGGTTCTCAACCTGTGGGTCCCCAGGTGTTTCAGCCGACAACACCTAGAAATCCCAGTTTACCAGCTGTTAGGATTTCTGCGAGTTGAAGGCCAAAACATCTGGGGACCCACAGGTTGAGAACCACTGATTTATAAAAATATGTTCATACTGCCTTTTGAGTACCTCCTCCATAAGTGCTCTCAAGTTGGTTTATAACTGGGAAGCCCTGACCCTTGAATGCTTTAGCTGGAGATCAGCTGTGACCTCCAGCTGTAGAATTTGAAGAGGCACAAATGGAGGGTGAAAGAGAAAAACGTGCCAAGAGGAAGGCGTGTCAAGCCAACCCCGACTGGGACTGTCTTCCACCTGGAAATGATGCCCTTACTGTGGGAGAACATGCAGGCCAAGAATAGGACTCCACAGTCTCCACAGTCACCTATGTACCACAGTCACCTATGTATCCAAGTTCAGGACACTGAACTTGGAGGACAATCTTACTTGGACAACGAGGCATCGCTAAGTAACAATAACACAAAATGCAAGAAAGAAGAATGAAACCATAGAAACAAACCAAAGACTGCAGAATTAACAGAAAAATAAAACCCACTGAATACCTGGCAGAATATATATTGTTTTCACTGCCCACATGAGAAAAAAACCATCGCAAGGTATTAACTATGGTAGGCATTACAATTGTTGAAAGCAGAAGTGATTACATTGCAAAACCCAAGGCACAGTTATGCAGTTATGGATCTGGGTTGGAATCCCTGCATTATTTCTGTTTAAGAAGATAAAGAAAATTCCAAATTGGAGAGTAAAAATATGAACCTTCAAAATGTTAGTTTGAATGCTGGTCGATATCTCCTTCAACCTTATATCTCATCAGACAATTTACTCGTCTGCTTTTATCATGATGATAATAATAATAACAAATATTATTAATGATGCTGTTGTTGTAGTTGTAGTTGTTGTTGTTATTATTATTATTATTATTATTATTATTATTATTATTATTATTATTATGTTCCATCACGTTTTTTTTAAAGCTTTCCTCTCTACTTTTGTCAGCAACTGCCAGGAAACCTGCACTCCTTTTTTGTCTGTTTATTGGGGAGTCAATCCCTTTGCTTTCAGTTGGACTGGAGTGATAGGGCCCGTCCAGACAGTACTTTTACTGCAGGAGCTTCCGCAGCAGATGGCCAGATGTTGTTCCCTGTAACTACAGATGCAATCACTACAAAAGGCAAAAAACGTGAGATTTGCAGATGCAGGAATATTGTAGTTTTGAGCCAAATATCTGCATCTTCAAATGTCTGTATATCCATGGAATGAACAATAACGGGATTTTAATCTAGGTTTGTTCACGGGTTTCAGATGTTTGTTCTTGATTGGTTGGTTTCTAAAAAGAAGGTGACAGTTGAGTAGGGGGCCATAACTTTGTCCTGGCCGGAGAAAATGTGTCCTTGACACATTTCATGAAGTTTTTGGCACACAAAGCTTTCACATTCTACTAAACTGTCATCTTCTTTTTAGGAACCGACCATTCAGGAACAAATTTCTAAAACCCGGGAACAAACCTAGATTAAAAATCCTGTGATTTCCAATTGCAGGGACATACAGACATGCCGACTGAATTGCACCCCAACTTAAGTAAACTTATTGTCTTTTCGTATCTGCGAGACGGGGTGAGCTCCCGTCTGTCAGCTCCAGCTTCCCATGGGGGGGACATGAGAAGCCTCCCACAGGATGGTAACGCATCCAGGCGTCGCCTGAGCAACGTCCTTGCAGATAGTTAATTCTCTCTTACACCAGAAGCAGCTTGCAGTATATTCCCAATTTGCTTCTGACACGATTAAAAAACCCTGTCTTTTCAGCACAAATTTGTTTTGTGTATTTGTGAGATGATGGGAAATTGCTCATTTGCCCACATCTACAAGTAATGTGCATTTCATGTGTACGATACATCTTCGCTTCCAGGTGAGAATCATTTTACTGAACAAACATAAAACTGTAAGACCTCAAATACTCCTCTATTTTGATCAAAGCCTCCATGAACTTGGAAGGAAAATGGGCAGTTGAGTTAGAACTCACGTGTTTCACTTTCTTTTAGGAACATCTAATTATTATTTTTAAAATCTTTTTGTAGGAATCCGTTTGACTCCAAAGGAGTTTCACGTAGAAGTAGAAAAATACCTTTTCCGAGGTAATGAAGGGCAAACAGACACCATTTTGCTGGACTGCAGGAACTTCTATGAAAGTAAAATAGTAAGTGACTTTGAATTGGCTCTTCTTGGGATAGGAAAACATGACATGTTGATTTCCTTCTGACCTAAGAGCACACGTGACATGTACTTATTTTGATTTACACTTCTTATTGTATTTTTGTTGATGTATGGTTTTCAAGGTGCCCCCGGTGGCATAGTGGGTTAAACTGCTGAGCTGCTGAACTTGCTGACCAAAAGGTCAGCTGTATGAATCCAGGGAGGGGGTGAGCTCCCATTGTCAGCCCCAACTTATGCCAATCTAGCAGTTTGAAAACATTCAATTGTGAGTAGATCAATAGGTGGGAAGGTAACGGTGCTCCATGCAGTCATGCCAGCCACATGACCTTGGAGGCTGTATTTCACAAAAAGGAAAATCCGCCTGTTTAGCAAACCCTACAAATGCTGATTTGTGTTTGCTTTTGATACCTATTTTATAACCTATATACTGGAGTCATGAAAAAATGTATCAGGTGGAAAGGGATCACAAGTGCTGTAGAAGACTGGTAGCGTCACTTTTTGGGACACATGGGAATCATGTTTTCCTTTCCTTTCCTTTCCTTTAGGGACATTTCCAGGGTTGCTTGGCTCCAGACATCAGAAAATTCAGCTATTTTCCTATTTATGTAGATGAGAACCTTGACCTTTTCCAGGGCAAGCGGGTCCTGATGTATTGCACAGGAGGAATCCGTTGTGAGCGAGGCTCAGCCTACCTCAGATCTAAGGTGAGCAAAATAATTGTGAGAGTCTAGATCCTGTGAAACACAACTGGAGCAGCAAAGCCCTGTAAGACACTTGTAGCTTGTTTGTTTTAGTTTCAAAAGTTTACAAAGGAAAGGAAACTATTACAGCAATGAATATTTTAGAAAAGCATGTCCTTTTAGAGATCATAACCTTTTACAGAAGAGCCAAAAACCCGTAGTGTGTCCAAATTTGGTGTCAATTCTTCCAGTGGTTTTTGAGTTATGTTAATCCCACAAACGAACATTACATTTTTCTTTATATAGATTACATTTCATTGGGCCCCCTGGTGGCCTTCACCTTTACTTCAGGTGAAACCTTTACCTTTACTACATTTTATTAAATACAGTTGTCCCATCATAATTGAAGGAGTGCCTGCCTCTTGTTTTTCCTTTCTCCTAAGCAAAGGGACGGATGAACAATTCTATATAAATAAAAATGTAATGTTCGTTTGTGGGATTAACATAACTCAAAAACCACTGGATGAATTGACACCAAATTTGGACCCACTACACGTATCAAGTGACCCTCACTCATAAAAACACTGAAAAACACAAAAAGCAAAAAAAATAAAAATAAAATTACAACACAAAATTACAAAACCACACACATACACACATATATATATACGCAAACACATATATACACATATACACAAAATATACACACATAAAACACATACACACAGACTAGGCCACAGCAACGTGTGGCAGGGGATGGCTAGATATTAATAATATTAATATTAATACGCCTGAATGGCCATCATCTGTTGGGGTGCTTTGATTGTGCTTTCCCTGCATAAAGGCGGAATGAAGCGGCTTGGACTAGCTGATTTTAGAGGTCCCTTCCAACTCTGTTATTATTATTATTAATAATATTTTTAAGGCTGGATGGCCATCATCTGTCGTGGGTGTTTTTATTGTGCTTTTCCTGCATGAGCAGGCGACCATGAGCTGAACACCAGCTCACACTGTGATGCTGCATCACTCATAAAAGCACTGAAAAAACCATCACTTATAAAAGCACTGAAAAACACAGCAGAAGAGACTTAAAAAGCCAAAAAACAAAAAAAAGCATTACAATGCATGTGCAAAACTACATATATATACACAAACACACATACACACATATACATACACAAAACACATATACACAGATTGGGCCACAGCAACACATGACAGGGGGTGGCTAGTAATGAAGAGAATACTTGATGAAGGGAATACTTGAGATACTTCTTGCTAAGTAGCTCATCTTTTATATTTAGAAGAAGCTTTTTTCCCTGTTAAATCAGGAGCAGCTGCTGAAGCCAACAGCAGACAAAACAATGTCGTGCTTTTATTTCCAATGTTATTGGTGATTTGGCAAGCCTCCTCCAGAGCTAAGGTCCTTTAAGGCTCCTAGATTAATTCTGTCCTCTCAAGATAGTTCACTAAGCTTAGAGGCAATGGCCTTGATTCTTCCAAGATATTACTCCTTTGGATCTGCCATGCAATTTGCTTTCTATTGCAACCTAACACAGCGTCTAGAGTTAAAACAGTCTTAGTTTAAAATAAAAGCAAACCCGAGACTTGCAGATCTAAAGACTGTTTTGAAATACCTGGACTGTAGCTCGTATTGATGAAAATGCTTTGTAAACCGAGCAGCAGATACCTGGAAAAAACTCCTTTATTCAAGGCAAGGACAGTCAGGCCCCATCTACACTGCCATATAATCCTGTTTCTGAATCCAGATTATCTGTTTTGAACTGAATTATACGAGTCTACATTGCCAGTTCAAAGCAGATAATCTGGATTCAGAAACGGGATTATATGGCAGTGTAGATTCATATGATCCAGATCACCACTGGGACCACCTTGACTGGCTTGTGGCAGAGTCTTTGCAGTTCGATCTTTAAATCCTCATTTCGTGTCAGCTTTTCCAGTTGTTTCTCTTCAATCCTGCTGTCACCTGGGATTGCAACATCAACAATCCATACTTCATTTTTTATCACGGTCGTGAGGTCAGGAGTATTGTGCTCCAGAACGCTATCAGTCTGAATTCAGAAGTCCCAGAGTAGTTTGACATGTTCATTCTTTGTAACTTTTTCTGGCTTGCGATCCCACCAGTTCTTTGTCACACGCAGATGGTATTTGTGGCTCAGGTTCCAATGAATTATCTGAGCAATGTTGTTATGCCTCTGCTTGTAGTCTGTCTGTGCGATCTTGCAGCATTTGAGGATATGATCTATTGTTTCATCTGCTTCCTTGCAGAGCCTATTATTATTATTATTATTATTATTATTATTATTATCATTATCATCATCATCATCATCAAGTCAGTTGCAGACTACTGGACTCTTTATGCTCCTCCTTTGAGACATTCTCCAAATCTCTTTGTAATAGGGTGTATGTAAAGGTGTGTATCATCTCAGGGGTGGCATCCACAAGTACCTGGAAGAATTTCCTGACGGGTTCTATCGGGGGAAGCTCTTTGTCTTCGATGAGCGTTACACCATCCCCTCCAACGGCGGTGCCATTTCAGGTGTGTAGCTACTCCGTCTTGGTTCAGTACACTCACTGCTTGTATCTCCAAAGCCATTTCTTTGTAAACTGTATCTTAGCACTTAGTAGTTCCCTATTCATCCAACCATTTAGGCCATATGCTTAAAGGACTTCATATGGGTGAAGGCCAATAGTAAAATCTCAGAAATACCAGGTTTTCTTGGTGCGGGGTCCACCTTGACCATCCTGATGATAAGAGCAAACCACCTTTTTCAAAATATTCATTATCCTTAAAACTGCAGCATCATTGTTAAAAACAGAGTTTTAACTTGGCGCAGAACTGTGATTATTTTTCTTTTGAGTGCAAAATAGGCACAGACATTAGGTCTAGCTCAGGTATGAGCAAACCCAGGCCCAGGGGCCGGATGCGTCCTCTCGGGCTCTTTTCTCAGGCCCTCCTCTCTCTCACCATCCTATCCCTCCTTCCTTCTCTCCCTCTTTCTCCTTTCCACCCCTTCGTCCTTCCTTTCCTCTTTCTCCTTCCTTCATTTTGTCTTCCTTCCTTCCTTCTCTCTTTCCTCCCTCCCTCCCTCCCTCCCTCTCTCCCTCCATTTTCTTCCACCTCTCCTTCCATCCATCCATCCCTTCAATCTCTTCTCTTTCTTCCTTCTTTTTCCTTCCTCCTTTCCTTCTGGGGAATGTTTAGCTGGGAGAAGAGAATGTAGAGAGGGAACATGAGAACCATGTTTCAGGATTTTAAAGGGTGTCCCAATGAGGAGGAGGAGGGGGGGGGGGACTGACTTTCTGCTGCTCTAGAGACCAAGATACAAGGGAGCAGGAAAAGAGACTCGACTGAAAAGATTAGGAAGAACTTCCCAAGAGTAAGAGCTGTTGGAGAGTGGCATAGTCTGCCTTCCCTGGAGGCATTTCCACATAGGCTGTCTATCGGGAGTGGTTTGATTGTGCCTCCTTGCATGGCAGGGGGTTGGACTAGATGGCCCTTGGGGGTCTCCTCCAGCACTAGGATTCTATATCAGGAGTAGACAGTATGGGGTCTAATGGATAACTTTTTTCTCTCCCATCCACCATCTCATCCTGACCAAGGCTATCCTTTTTGGGATCCAAACGTTTCCCATCTTTCCTTCACTTTCTGCCTCCAAAAGAGAAGAGGAATGGGAGGAAATGGCAGGGAGAGGACTTGAGGAAACCCCCCTTTTTCCCGGCCCACCCAACCTGCTCTGGCCCGTCATGCGGCCCCCAAGTTAGAAAGTTTGCCCATGCCTGGTCTAGATTAATGAAGTATTTTGCCTTCACCCCAATGGGAAGTAACATTATGGACAGACAGGAGGTTGCCAGGTTTCCAAGAGTAACCACAAATACCTGTCTAGTGATGTTTAGGTTTCCTGATTTACCTGAGAAAACCCCCTCCCTTTCCCCAGGTTTACAATGCAGATCCAAATGTGGGTTTAGGAATGTATTTTGCTTTTTTTGTGAATGGGGGAGATAAATGATGCCCTATTCCCAAATTCTTGGTCACACAGAACCTATAAGGCAGTGTTTCTCAACCTGTGGGTCCCCAGATGTCTTGGCCTTCAACTCCCAGAAATCCTAACAGCTGGTAAACTGGCTGGGATTTCTGGGAGTTGTAGGCCAAAACACCTGGGGATCCACAGGTTGAGAACCACTGCTGTAAGGGAAAGGGAATGGAAGGGAAGGGTTTCTTAATTCATGTTGTGCTTTGAAGGCATGACTTCCCTAGCTGATATCTTGATGACATTCAAATGTGTTGGCTCTGTCATTCCAGATACTCCAACCAATGAATCTTGGCAGTCAAGATTCCAATGCTATGGAAGATGCTAGGTTTGGGGAGGCTGCATGGAAGTTTTTTTTTTTTTATCGTGTCATCAGCAACCATTGTATTACAATTCTAACAGAGCAAAACAAACACACAGATTAAAAAGAAAAAGAAAAAAAAACACACAGATTTTGCAAATTTGGTATTTGGTTAAATGTCCTTTGACCAGTATCTGGCCACTTGGAGTGCCTCTGGGGTTGCCGCAAGAAGGTCCTCCATTGTGCATGTGGCAGGGCTCAAGGTGCATTGCAGCAGGTGGTCAGTGATTTGTTCTTCTCCGCACTCGCATGCCGAGGATTCCGCCCTGTAGCCCCATTTCTTAAGATTGGCTCTGCATCTCGTGGTGCCGGAGCACAGTCTGTTCAGCGCCTTCCAAGTTACCCAGTCTTCTGAGTGCCCAGGGGGGAGTCTCTCATCTGGTATCACCCATGAATTGAGGTGCTGGGTTTGGGCCTGCCACTTTTGGACTCTCGCTTGCTGGGGTTTTCCAGCGAGTGTCTCTGTAGATCTAAGAAAACTATGTCTTGATTTAAGTCGTTGACGTGCTGGCTGATACCCAAACAGGGGATGATGCATGGAAGTGATGGAAGATCTTAACTCCTTTCACTCAAGGGTCTCCATAACACATGAAAAAGACTGGCCACTCTCACAGTCCTTTCTGCATGCTACCTAAGGGAAGGCAGGGCCAGTGGCCGTAGCAGATAATAGCTGCTCACAGTGTATCTACCCTTGGTTCTCTCCTTCTAGCTTGCCGTTACTGTGGGATGCTTTGGGACCAATATCGACTGTGCTCAACCCAGCCCTGCCACCAACTTGTTCTGACCTGCACAGCATGCCAGCTGAAAGGATTCACCGCCTGCTGCCCACTGTGCCAGGAAAAAGGCCTTGCGCTGGCTGCAACCTCTTCTGGACAAGGCTTCAAGGAAGAGTGTGAGTGCACAGGGACACGGCAACGAATTCCTGTAGAGCGTGTTTAATGAAGAGCTTCAGAGCAAGATTCCCTCTTTGCTGAATCCTCTTGGAGACCCCCCGACTCCAAGATACAATTTAGTGGGATTTGGGGCAACCACTTTCATTAGCCTGCAAGACTAACTTACTCTTAGAAGCAAAATACTGGTATATGCAAAGCAAAAAAAAAAAAAAATTAAAACTCCAATGGTGCTATACAACTCATGTGAGATGTTCACCCCTTTCCTTGCAACTTGACGTGGAGTCTAGGCAGTAAGATGTACTACTGTTCCTTGTAGCAGGAACAACAACGCAATAAATGGTCATAGTTTTCAGGAAAGGGAAGGGAGCGCAAAAAAGTTCAGATAAACTGTCGCTTGTATGCACTTTGGGAAAACTCACTGGGCATATATCGAAGTGATCTGCCTGCAAGCTTTTGGGGTTTCTCCTAATTGAAATACATCTTTTGGGCAGCTCTCCTTCCCTCCCTATCCTTGCACACTCAACATTACCTCTGTTTTTCCGGCAGTGGCAGAAGCCTATTTGAGCAGAGGGTAGAAAAGGCAAGCTAATGCTCTTTAAAGCCTCTAAAACTGAATGTGCAACTAACCTGAGTCCACATCTTTACCCTTCTTCCCTACTAGGTCTTTGCTAGCAGCACAGCATGCCAGAAAAAAGGACCCCATTGGTAGCTAACCACATACCTCTCCTCCTCCCATTGCTCATACTGAATCAGTACACATTTGGTAGCAAGGAACAGGCAGAAACCCTGCTCTATTACTGTGAAAAATAGTGGATTCCAGTCCTGACTATTGCAGGCAAAATGCTAATCTTATTCTAGTTTGTTCCTGAAAAGGCTAGCTAGTTTCTTCCAAACCAGGGGCATGAGTTTACAATCACATCTTCATTCCCGCTCTTTAGGGAAAGGCAACTGGCATCTATTTTTTTGTTTATTTGTTCGGTTGCGTCCAACTCTTCGTAACCTCATGGACCAGCCCACGCCAGAGCGCCCTGTCGGCCGTCACCACCCCCAGCTCCTTCAAGGTCAGTCCAGTCAGTTCAAGAATACCATCCATCCATCTTGCCCTTGGTCGGCCCCTCTTCCTTTTTCCTTCCTTTTTCTTCAGCATCATTTTCTTCTCCAAGCTTTCCTACCTTCTCATTATGTGGGCAAAGTACTTCATCTTTGCCTGTAATATCTTTCCGTCCAGTGAGAAATGGGCTTTATTTCCTGGAGTATGAACTGGTTTGATCTTCTTGTGGTCCAAGGCACTCTCAGGATTTTCCTCCAAATATGAATGAACCGAATCTGGTGAGAGTGCATTCAAACTGTCTCAGTTGCACTAGAAGGTTACATATCTTGACGTTCTGAAATGTCTATATAGTAGCCATTAATCACCTCTCCAATTTTTTTTTACTAATTTTAAGATCAAAGAATATCCATACAGGAGGCAGTCAAATCTGGCAGCACTGGGTTTTACTATATACCCCTTCTGCCCAACTCATTACTATGTGTGTGTTTGGAATGAAATGAAGAGACAATTAAAAGCCGCCTTTGCTCTCACGAGGCAGTGAAAATGGCCCTTGCAAACTGCACCTCCACTGACATTGCTGATGTAGAGAGGTTGCTGGATTCCTACCGATTGTGAATAAGGCCTTATGACTGTGCTTTAACCCCTGTCACAATTAGAAGAGACTGATGCAAAAGATTAAGGGCCAACAAAACATATCATCAAAAAGAAATTCCTTCTTTGTAGAATTTAACTTTTTTTGCTCCAGAAATTTGGTTTGTGTTGGAACAAATCGCACACAACTCTGGGTGAATGGAAGACTGGGGCTTTAGCTGAGGTGAGGTACTTGAACAGTATACTCCTAGGATCTGCTCACTATACACAGAGGTGGGTTAGTACTGCAGACATACAATGGGTGAATGGGAGATTGTTTGGGACTTTAGCTGAGGTGAGGTACTTCAACAATATACTCCTACAACCTGCTCACTATAAGCAGAGGTGGGTTAGTACTGTAAACATACAATCTATGCAACTGTTTGTATTGCTAAATCTTGCACCAATTCATAAATTGCATGCAAACCTTTTGATTCCTGGCTCTCTGGCTGGAAGGAAATTTTAAGCAGTAGCTAGCAGTGTGCTTTGCTTTGCTTTCCATTGGCTCTGGTGTTGGTTTTGTATGATATAATCACAGACACATCAAACTTCCAGTAATAACGGCCTAGTATTCATACTTCATACAGGCTGAGTTTCTTACAAGTGACACTTTATTGTGGCATAATTTACAAGCAGCACAACATTAGAAGACTGGGTTCAACCCAATTAGGCACTGCTGCAAAAGCAACCTCAATTCCCTTTAACTGGCTGCCCAGTTCCATGTTCAACAACAGCGTCCAAAGGCTTGCATCCACTGGCTATAAGGCAGGATCTACTGATGCCATGAAAATGGAAAGAGGTCAGCAATTCTTCCCCCTTGACGCCTAGCCTCCCTTCTTGGTGCTCTTCTGCTCTCCCTGTGTGAGGGAGGCTGGTCTGAGACATGCCTGATGGGACAGACAATGCTGCATGCAAACATATCCTATCCTCCCTGAGAAAGACTATCTTGTCCCAGAGTAGCACAATCTTGGAAATTCATGCTGACCTTCAGAGAGGCTGGAGACAGCACAAGTTTGGAATACGGCTCCAAATGTGTTGGCTTGTGTATGCACAGCACAATTGGACCTCTGTATCAGTGGGACCAATACTCATAGTTTCATAAATATGCCCTCTTGAGGAATTTTTTAGCTCCATCAGGCACGTTTACCATAACTTCCACTGGAAGTTAGTAGAGTAGTATGGGGTGTGTGTATGTGCATAAATTCCTAGAGGATACTTGGTTGGATGTGGGTAGATGAAACTGTGAGTATCAGTCCGTGTGACTCTATGGCAGTGGTTCTCAACCTGTGAGTCCCCAGATGTTTTGGCCTTCAACTCCCAAAAATCCTAACAGCTGGTAAACGGGCTTAGATTTCTGGGGGTTGTAGACTAAAACAACTAGAGACCCAACGGATGAGAATTAACCATGAGTATCGGTCTATGTGACTCTATGGCAGTGGTCCTCAACCTGTAGGTCTTCAGATGTTTTGGCTTTCAACTCCCAGAAATCCTAACAGCTGGTAAATTGCCTGGGATTTCTGGGAGTTGACCAAAACAACTGGAGACCCACAGGATGAGAACTAACTGTGAGTATCAGTCCATGTACTCTATGGCAGTGGTCCTTAACCTGTAGGTCTCCAGATGTTTCGGCTTTCAACTCCCAGAAATCCTAACAGCTGGTAAATTTGGCTGGGATTTCTGGGAGTTGTAGGTCAAAACACCTGGGGACCCACAGGTTGAGAACCACTGCTCTATAATAACTTCTGGAAGAACAATGATCATTTTAGTAGGGGTCACTGTTACGCAGTTCCCACAGTAAGGTCAAGAACATCCCCCGCAGATATGGGATTCATACTGTACATCATGCAAGAGGTCTTCAAAGAAGAGTGTATTTGGCAGTAGTGGTGTCCTGTAACAGTATGAGAGCATCTAGTCAACACTGAAGTAGGGGGACCTACAGGTGACTTGTCCAGACATGGGGGCTGTAGGCCACTTCCTTCAGCGCAGGTAGAGTGAGTCAAAGATCCTCTATCCATGGGACAGCCATCACTAACCAATCTATTTGGAAAGCTATAACAATATGGAGAGTAACTCTTGAGAGTGTACAGATAAATAAAGCAATCATCCACCACAAACCCAAGAGTAAAGGGACTAGAAATTATCTGGTGCATATTGTCAGAAGATTGAAGAGAACAACATCTATCTGCATGTTCATCTTACAAGCTCTGAAATCGTTCAGTGAAAAAGAAAGGAAATATCCCGTTCCTGTGGTTTTTCCCCTTCTTGTAATGATTGCTTAAGAAAAGAGTGGCCTTAACATTCTTTCTATTGCTTGGGTGTGCAGGTGCTGTAGTAACGGCAGATGCTTTTACTACGGGATTGTAACTTACTGCTGTGTGTCTTGCTGATTGCAGTTCGCCAGTGCTGAAATTAATGATGTAGTCTGGGATGATAGAAATGCTGTCGGACTTATAGCTTCTTTCCAATTCTTGCCATTAAGTCAAATAAAATAAAATAAAGTATATTTTTAAACATTTCTGCTAATTTGCAGAGTAGCATTGCATCTTTTTTGTTCAGTACTCATCTATCTCACACTACACGCACAAACTCTCAAATTCCATGCTGAGATAACCATATATATTCATGTATAAGCCGATCTTATGGTCAAACCAAGAACAGATTTTGGGGCCCAAATTATGGATTTTGATGTGAGTTATGGATAAGATGAAAATCATTCAATCGAAAGGGGAAAGCTCTATTGCCTCTCCACTTAGAAGGCTCGGTGCTCTTTCTTTTGCTGCTATTTTCCCACTTTGACATTTAAAAGGCCAAAAGTGACAGTGCAGTGGAAAGAGTAGAAGCTCTCGGTGCTTCTTTGATGTTCTCCAGGATGGACTAAGCTCTTGCTTTTCACCACTTTATCCAGATAAGGGGATGGTTTATTTTTAGGTAAGAGTTAGGATAAGAGTTAGGATGAGCCCCTTGGTGGTGCAGCGGATTAAACCGCTGAGCTGCTGAAATTGCTGGCCAAAAGCTGGTGGTTCGAATCTGGGGAGCGGGGTGAGCTCCCGCTGTTAGCCCCAGCTTCTGCCAACCTAGCAGTTCGAAAAGATACAAATGTGAGTAGATCAATAGGTACCACTCCAGTGAGAAGGTAACAGCACTCCATGCAGTCATGCTGGCCACATGACCTTGGAGGTGTCTAAGGACAATGCCGGTTCTTTGGCTTAGAAATGGAGATGAGCATCATTCCCCAGAGTCGGACACAACTAGACTTAATATCAGGGGTAACCTTTACTAGGATAAGGTACTTAATGTCAATTTGTGGATACATCAACCCAAGTTTTGGATCAGGTTTTGGACAAAACATTTAGACTTATGCATGAGTATATAGGGTAGGCTGCAGTCTAACTACAAATTCAAACTATCATTGTCCAATAGTGTTGAAATCCAGCACTTACACCTTATGGTCAAAAGGCTCAAACTTTGGATTGCTCTAAATCTGGGATGAGAATGTATGTTGGGAGCGCAATTTCCCTCATTCTTCACCATTAGATGAAGATTTGCTGGCCAGGGATGTTGGCAATTGAATCCAACAACATCTGAAAGGACACATTCCCATCTAAGCTCTCAAAAAGGAAAAAAGTCATTATTCACACACTGATTCTAAAGATCTTCGCCTACATCACTAGTTTTCAACCTTTTAGTGCACAATGATGTCATATGAAAAAGAAAAACAGGCACTACAATTTCAATGCACAGTTGCTCTGCCATGAGAGTTTGCAATCCAGTGCAAGCCGACTGATGCCATCTCTGCGACCCATCGTTACACCCCAGTCCGGCATTTGGGAAAGATGGGCCCATTCAGGTCTGCAAGCCTCCTCTTCCTCACTGAAAAGAAAGAAAAAGGAAAAACAGCTGAGGCAATACGGTGGCCATCCGTTTACACTCTGTGGAAGTTACATATATATTCTAAATATCTGAACACAGCATTTGTCACTAGAGAGAAAGGTAGATGCAAATGATCTGGTACAATAAATTCCCTAATTTCTTTTGGGGAAGTGCCCTCAGGGCCCTTCCACACAGCCATATGACCCAGAATATCAAGGCAAAAAATCCCACAATATCTGCTTTGAAGAGTTATCTGAGTCCACACTGTCATCCAATCCAGTTCAATGTGGATTTTATACAGTTGTGTGAAAGGAGACCAAGGGCCCCTCCACGCAGCCATATAACCCAGAATATCAAGGCAAAAAAATCCCACAATATCTGCTTTGAACTGGGTTATCTGAGTCCACACTGCTGTATATTCTGCGGGAAGGTAATGACGTTCCATGCAGTCATGACCTTGGAGGTGTCTATGGACAACGCCAGCTCTTTAGCCTAGAAATGGAGTTAAGCACCACTCCCCAGTTGGACTCGACTAGACTTAATATCAAGGGGAAACTTTTATCTTCACCATATTAAGAAATCATTTTAATACCTCTCACTCTAAAACAAGTTTGTAGGATTCAATTGCCTGGGCCAATTGACAGAGAAGAACCCTACTGACTTCAACAGGACTTCTTCTCAGGTGAATTGTGTATGGAAATGTAGCCTACATCTGTAGTAGAGATAGGGCCAGACCTTAATTTAGTATCGGACTGGACCAAAACTATTTTGCTGTATTTTGTTTCCGCTCCCCAGCCACTCTACTCCAAAACTACTTCCTATTCTCTGAAAATTGCAGTTGTAATTGTGCATCCCTCACAAAATAACATCTCCCATGCTTCTTTAGAAGGAAACCATTTTAGTTGAAGTAAAAAGGTAAAGGTAAAGGTTTCCCCTTGACATGAAGTCCAGTCGAGTCCAACTCTGGGGGGTGGTGCTCATCTTCATTTCTAAGCCAAAGAGCCCGTGTTGTCTGTAGACGTCTCCAAGGTCATGTGGCCAGCATGACTGCATGGAGCGATGTTACCTTCCCACCGAAGTGGGGTGGGAAATAGGGGTGGGCAAATAGTAACATTCAGAGCCAATCTGAGAACCCCAGGGATTAAATTATTCTGTAAATGGGGTCCCTCCCCCCAAATATTTTTGAGGCATGGAGTCACTTTGCCATGCTGTTGGACTCTTTTAGAACAGGAATTGATGGTGTTTCAGAGTTTTTTTCTTACTTCCTTTATTAAAAAGGTGTTTCTAGGACCCGAAATGGCCCAAACCTGGTAGAAATATTCCCACACCTCTAGGGAGCATTAGAGGGCACTTTGTGGTAGGTGTAGTAGATATGTGCACTTCCAAGATCTCCTGGGGTGGTTAATGAAGGTCCCTCCACAGTTACCCACCCCTGCTTTAAATTCCCCCTGACCTAAGCACCCTTCCAGAAAGGCTCTATATCCCAGGATCTGATACCAGGTTTTCTGTTTATCCCAGACTATCTGGCAGTGCGGACTCATATAATTCAGTTTAAAGTAGAAAACCTGGGATCAGATCCTGGAATACAGAGCCTACTGACTTCAACAGGACTTCTTCCCAGGTGAAGTGTGTATAGAAATGCAGCCCTAAAGGCCCTAAGTTTATGGGCTACATTTTCCCAATGTTTTATTCCATTAATATTCTTGCAAAGGGATTAGTTTACAGTCACTCAAATAAATAAGCAAATGGGAAGAGGGAAAATAAAGCCAGAAAAGGATGAAGAATTATGTCACAAATATGGCACAGTGAAGGTGTAAGTGATCTTTTCTTTCAGTATGTATGGAAGCTGAAGTTATCTCTAAAGAAGAAAAGACATCTGTAGCAAAGACAGAAAGCCATGGAAAGAAGCTGAAAGAAAGAGTCAAAACAGTCAAGTGGAAGCGCAAGGAGACGCTGCTACTTCAAGCCTAGAGAGAAAAGAAAAGTGATTGCCAAGAGGAAGGGGAGAAATCTATACTTATGCATCCTCCAGTTCCAAGGCTGATGAATTATGCCACAGGCCATCGCATCGACGAATACGAGCTGCAAATAAGAACCAAGTCAGAGATCTTCTGCACAGCTCTTGCAACCAACGAGGTATGCTAGTAGCAGTTCTTCCTAGACAATCTGACAACTATTTCCTTTCAAAAGAACTTAATTGTGAACTTTTAGATGCCGACCACTTTGCTCCCCATGTGGCTGACATGCTCTTTGATTTAATATCAGGCAAACAATGAGGGAGGCTCTGTGATCTTAAGTGTCTTATAATATAGGTACAGAAGAGTCTTGCTTATCCAACCTTTGCTCATCCAACGTTCTGTATTATCCAATGCAGTCTACCTCCCGCCTGGATCCACAGCTGTTTCAATACATTGTGATGTTTTGGTGCTAAATTTGTAAATACAGTAATTACTACTTAACGTTACCATGTATTGAACTGCTTTTTCTGTCAATTTGTTGTAAACATGATGTTTTGGTGCTTAATTTGTGAAATCATGGGTTTTTCCTTAACCCCTCCTTATTGTCCAACATTTTCGCTTATCCAACGTTCTGCCAGTCCGTTTATGTTGGATAAGTGAGACTCTACTGTACTGTAAAAGGCACCTCCGATTTTGCAAAACACACATTTCCTTGAACCCTGTGCTGAGCGAATGGCAAAATATAAATAAATTAAATAAATATTAAATATCTTGAAAAAGTTACTGTCCAGTCTGCAGTGTTGCTAATCCTCAATTCTACAATTCCTCAAGATAGCCCGCTATCTATGAAACATAGATGTTCTTGCACACGCTTTGCATATAGATGTCTCTGGGTTCAATACTCAACACCTTCTCAACCAGGGGTTCTAAACCTTTTGTCTAAACCGAAGGGTGTCCACAGATGGATTTCAGCAGCACTGTGAACTGCTGAAATTTTGTCCGTATTTTAAACGTAGTTTCTAAACAGGGAATCCATAGCAAAGAAATCTGCAACTCTCCCCCCAAAATCCGGAACTGTTGCTTCGGAGAGTCTCATTTCACATAGGAAAGGTTTTCTTGAGACTCCCAAGGAATGGCTGGCCTGGAAGCATTATGCGTTTCTTGATTAATTTATTTACTGTATTTATATCCCTCCCTTCTCACCCCGAAGGGGACTCAGAGCAGCCCTTGGTGAACATGTTCAGAAATGGGTTGTTGTAGGTTTTTTGGGCTATATGGCCATGTTCTAGAAGCATTCTGTCCTGACGTTCGCCTGCATCTATGGCAAGCATTTTCAGAGGTTGTGACCTCACAATCTCCTTCTCCTCCTCCTCCTCCTCCTCCTCCTCCTGTTGCCATAAATCTCAAAAAATCAAGTTCTCAAAACTAACCAGTCACCAACAAGTTCCTAAAATACTGGACACCACCCTTCAACCAAAAAGCAAAAGATACAAGACAAACAACCCATTTGTCACCTGGAGAGACAATATATAAGCGCTATTTCCTGGGGCAGGGAATGAATTCCCTTTTTGAATTCATGCTGTTGAGAATGAAAGAACAATCAACTGAAAGAACTCACTCACCAAGATCATTATTGTTCATCATGGCATTTGCTGCTCGAAGCCTGGGGCCTTGCTGAGTGAAGTGATATCCAAATTTCAAGAGAGATGTGTTCTTTTCTAACATACTTGCAATCTCCATTTCTACTTTGTTGCCTAGTAGCTGACTCTAAAAAAGAAAAAAGAAGACAGGTGCTCTTTCAGTTAATTCATATTTTATCTCCCATCTGCTTGTTCCTCCTTTAGAATAATTCACACATATTTTCCAGATATTAACAACAAAAACCAAAATCCTGCATTTGCCAGACTAAATAAAATGACCAGAAGGTCACAGATTTTGTTGCTGATCTTTTTCTGATGTTATTTGAAGATCCATACTTATTTTGTGAATCCCAGAATACTGTATTTTCTATTGGCATCTGGTATAATCAGATACTTTACACCAGCTTATCAGGTTGGTTTATTTTAACCCAATATAAAGTCAGGCCCACAAAGGCACTAGCTTTCCATGGTAATAGGACTGTGTGCCCCTGCGAGGCAAGAGGTTATGCTGACTAATGACACAACTGGACTTGCGCCAAAGGAACATTTAGCTACTGATGTGTTCAGAGGTAAAAGGAAGTTGCATAACGTATATTATAGGATATGGAATGTGAAAAGCATGGATCAGAGGATGCTAGATATAGCAGAACAAGAAACTGAACATGGGTTGTTGTAGGTTTTTTTGGGCTATATGGACATGTTCTAGAGGCATTCTCTCCTGACGTTTCACCTGCATCTATGCCAAGCATCCTCAGAGGTAGTGAGGTCTGTTGGAACTAGGAAAATGGGTTTATATATCTGTGGAATGACCAGGGTGGGACAAAGGACTCTTGTCTGCTGGAGCTAGGTGTGAATGTTTCAACTGACCACCTTGATTAGCATTTTATGACCTGGCAGTGCCTGGGGCAATCTTTTGTTGAGAGATGATTAGATGTCCTTGATTGTTTCCTCTCTGGAGTTTTGCTGTTGTAATTTTAGAGTTTTTTAATACTGGTAGCCAGATTTTGTTCATTTTCATGGTTTCCTCCTTTCTGTTGAAATTGTCCACATACTTGTGGATTTTAATGGCTTCTCTGTGTAGTCTGACATGGTGGTTGTTAGAGTGGCCCAACATTTTGGTGTTACTGAACTGAACATGCATTGCAATATTGTAGGAATTCTTTGCTCCAACTGTGTTGCAATGGGTTTAGTCTTTTCTTGAAAGCACATGCCAAGACACACAGGGGCTGAAGATACCATACATACATACAAGAACCTAGCACTACTGCTCATCTATATAGGGCCTGAGCTATAAATCACCCCAAAGCCCTGGAACCTGGTGCCTGCCCTTTCCCACATACCAGAGCCCACCTTCTCCCACCTCAGGGCAATTGACTTTTCTGGCTGGTTCATGTGTCCTTGCAGCATCCTGTCCTCCCTTTTGGCCAACGACCATGTGCTCTCTCTATGCCAGGGCTGATAGTTTCATGGCATGAGTGATCATGACAAATACTTGCTGTGAGTGAGCTTAAGATTTACAAGATGTTTAGCCTTCGCTGCCAAAGAAGTTTCTTCACCAAACTACAAAGCCTATGTTTCCATAGTAATGAGCTATGACAGTTAAAGTGATCTCAAACTTCATTAGATGTACCCCAGGCGAGGAACAAGACTGACAGCCGGCCTTAGTATTTCTCTTTCTTTATCATAGAAACATAGAGTTGGAAGAGTCTCCAAGGGCCATCAAGTCCAACCTCCTGCTATATAGGAATGAGGTTTATCCTATGGCTCAGGGTAACATTGTGAGCTTTCCCATCTCTTTTCACATGGAGAATTTGCATTTGTTGTTGTTTATTCATTCAGTCGCTTCCGACTCTTCGTGATCTAATGGACCAGCCCATAACAGAGCTCCTTGTTGACCATGGCCACCTCCAGCTCCTTTAAAGCCAGTCACTTCCAGGATACCATCCATCCATCTTGCCCTTGGTCAGCCCCTCTTCCTTTTTCCTTCCATTTTCCCCGGCATCATTATCTTCTCCAAGGTTTCCTGTCTTCTCATGATGTGGCCAAAGTACTTCTTCTTTGTCTCTAATCTCCTTCCTTCCAGTGAGCAGTCAGGCTTTATTTCCTGGAGTACGGACTTGTTTGATCTTCTTTGCTTTACCTTTATTTTAAACATCAGTATACAGCCCATTTTTGTTCAATACAAACATTTTAAGTTACTCATTCTCTGAACAGAACTAAATTTTATATTAATTTCATTTATGTCTGTATAAGAGAATTGAAATGAGAACTGGTTACCTGGTTGTCGATTTTGAGTTCAATTAATGTTGTGTTGCACTGCAGGGCTTCTATCATGGCCAGGATTCCTGATCCAGAAATGAAATTTGATTCTACATTTAAGCTCTTCAATACACCGTTGACTTTCAACATTTCTGCCAGTGCCTTCCATATTGAGAGAAAGGGGGAGAAAAATATGATACAAGTGTCCGTCATCATCATTCTCATCATTGTCATCGTCATGCATGAAGGAGCCCCCGGTGGCGCAATGGGTTAAACACTTGTGCCAGCAGGACTGAAGACCAACAGGTCAGAGGCTCGAATCCATTGCTATACAAAAACTAATAATGCCTGTTGAGGTCTGAATACATTTCTGGGAAAAGTACAATTAGGACAGTATCTAAGCCTTCTTTCCAGTAAGGAAATAAAGTCCTTCACACAAGGTGTGCGCTTGGATAACATTTCATTCTCGCAAGTCATCTTTAAAGGAAACAGTCCCATTAAAAGCTTCCTTGAGAAGATTAGCCTGGGTAATCTGTCTAACACTTACGTAAGCGACAGGGTCATTGCTTCTTGTTCCTACTATGCTGAACTTTTTCACGTAGCTGTTGTTCTTCAAAGCCTCCGCATAGGCTTTTAATGTTGGTATGGGGATGTCCTTCAAAAGAGAAATACACAGACCACCTCAATGTATGCTGTTAAGTTGGTGTGAAATTATACAAGTCAAGGTTATAAATGTAAGTTTATTTATTATTATTTATTTCCGGTATTTCTACCCAGTCTCTTCTCAACCCCTGAAAGGGGACTCAGGACGGCTTACAGTAGGCACTGATAAGTTCCTTTCTTTCAAGTAATCGCATGGGTCAGGCACAACAAACTGGGGAAAACTGACATATTTGGAGGAATACACCCCTTACATTGCAAACTCAGTGCTGCCTGGTCTGACTGGTAGAAGAAAACTACATTTTGAAACAACCTTCAGGGAAATATGTAGGGAATAATTGGTGGGCGGGAGGAGAGAAAAGCACTCTTCTGTCTTCTAAATTATCCTGTAAAGTATCTATTCTCCAACTATCTCTAATTTTGGTTATTTATTAAAATATTTATACCCCAGTTATAATCAGCAGATCTTAGAGAGGCCTCCAAATAGCATTTAAACAGATGAAAAAGAGTTTTAAAAAGTATAAATAAACTAAAACATATTAAACTATATAATGAGTGAATAATTTTTTTTATTTTCTTTAAAATTTAAAAAACTATAAATAACAGCTTTGGCTTGAATTAATATGGTGCAAATGCTTTGACCAAGTGCAATTTTTTAACTTGGTGCCTAAATGGGGGGCTGCCATTGAAGATTGTTCGGAAGCTACAATTAGTGCAGAGATTGGTGGCCAGATTGCTAACCAGAGCACTTTATTGTTAGAGGATGACTCCCATGTTGCATCAGCTCCACTTGCTGCCATTCTGCTTCCCAGCTGGTCATTACATATAAAGCCCTAAACGGTTTGGGGTCAGACTATTTGCAGAACCACATCTCTGTATACAAACTGGTCCGAGCTTTGCGATCCATGGAGGAGGTCCTGCTCTCGGTCCCACCCCGTCTCAAGCATGGCTGGTGGGAGCGAGAGACGGGGCCTTCTCTGTGATTGCGCCCCACCTCTGGAACTCCCTCCCAAAAGAACTAAAAACTGGTCCCTCTCTCTTCGCCTTCAAAACACTGCTAAAACCCATCTATGTACTCTAGCGTATGGAGAGGAGAAAGATTAACATGCCTGACGTACATCCCTGCCTAGTTATGTTAACTCTTGTCCAGAGACTGGAACTGACTTCAGCCTGTTGGTTGCTGCATATCATTACTGATTTTAAAGTTAGGGTGCTTTTTTATTGCTCAGTGTGGGCCCCTTCCACACAGTTGAAAAAAATCCCACATTATCTACTTTGAACTGGGATGTATGGTAGTGTGGACTCAGATAACTCAGTTCAAAACAGATATTGTGGGATTTTCTACCTTGATATTCTGGGATATAGGCCTATGTGGAAGGGTCCATGGTCTGTCCTGATGGAATTTGTTTGTATCTTTTCCCTTTTTTGCACTGAATGTTTGCCATACATATTGGAAATTGTCCTGAGTCCCTTCGGGGAGATAGGCCGGTCTAGAAATAAAGTTGTTCTTGTTGTTGTTGTTATAATAATTGAGAAGAGTGTTGGTGTCAACTGGGCCTCATTCCATGATTACGATGGCTAGAGTTACTCTCAGCAAATAGTGATTGGAAACAGATATTTGCAGAGATAAAATGTAGCCCCCCTTCTAATTCCAATGCTTTAAAAATAAAATATTATTAGTGATATAATAGTGAGTTAATAAACAGAATTGAATCTTGAACTGTGAGGTGGCCTATTCATTCAGAATGCAAATTCGTCTAAGAAAGTATTTGTACCTTAATATTATTGAGATTGACTTCCTCCAGTTCTGGATCATTGTTTTTCACTCTTTCCAAAGTTTCTTCTACATCTGTTGAATTTGGTTCATCAGGAACAGGTTTATATTGTGTTGGCTTAATTACACCTACATGGAAGGAGGACAGAATAATTAGATAAAGGAATAAAGGTCTCCTTTCCTTGAGCAATTGCCTTGGTAGTCCAGTGAATAAAGAGTAAGTAATCAACTCAAATGACTCCCACTTTGGTCTCAGTCCAGCAGCTCCTGGTCACTGACAAGTGCACTATTTCTGTAAATGAGGAAGAAAATGAAAAAGAAACACACGGATAACAAGCAGGCCTATCTTTGGCAATGTATAGGCAGTAATTCTTTCTTGTAACACTGTTCGCCTTGGAAAAGCATAATTACAACTATATCCCCTTAATCCAGCTTCCGCAAACTGGTTTGATACATGTTGGGCCACAGCTCCCATTATCTACATTCATGATACCTATGATAGGGGTTGCAGTCCAATCCAGACCAGTCACCAGGATTTTTTTCTTTCGTGTCAGGAGCGACTTGAGAAACTGCAAGTCGTTTCTGGTGTGAGAAAATTGGCCATCTGAAGGGACGTTGCTCAGGGGATGCCCAGATGTTAGATGTTTTACCATCCTTGTGCGAGGCTTCTCTCATGTTCCTGCATAGGGAGCTGGAGCTGACATAGGGAGCTCAACCCGCTCTCCCCGGATTCGAACCGCTGACCTCTCAGTCAGCAGTCCTGCAAGCACACGGGTTTGACCTATTGCGCCACTGGGGGGTCCAGTCATCAGGATGAAGAAGACTATTTAACCCTATACAAGCCTATGGAGTGCAGCTTTGTAGGCACAACTCTTTTTACCTTATCTTGAAATATATTTTGTCCATTAAAATATAGACAGTTGGAAAAGTCTGAGTTTTGGATTACACTTCGAAATTTGATTGGTAGACTCTGGGAATAGTAGTTTTTTAAAAAGTAACACTCACCTATTTCTCACTTTAAAAAAATAAAGAAGTTGTGAATTTCCTATTGTTTTCCTTTTGTGACTGTAAAGTATCCTTCCTTTTGCGGAATACAAACACAATGCCCAAATAAGGGACAGGGCATTTGAACTTTGAAAGCATTTGCTTTATAATAGAGAAGATAGATGCTTTTGAACTGCGGTGCTGGAGGAAAGTTCTGAGAGTGCCTTGGACCGTGAGAAGATCCAACCAGTCCATACTCCAGGAAATAAAGCCCGCCTGCTCACTGGAGGGAAGGATATTAGAGGCCAAGATGAAGTACTTTGGCCACATCATGAGAAGACAAGAAAGCTTGGAGAAGACAATGATGCTGGGGAAAATGGAAGGAAAAAGGAAGAGGGGCCAACCAAGGGCAAGATGGATAGATGGTATCCTTGAAGTGACTGGCTTGACCTTAAAGAGCTGGGGGTGGTGACGGCCGACAGGGAGCTCTGGCATGGGATGGCCCATAAAGTCACAAATTGTCGGAAGCGACTGAACGAATAAAAAACAACAATAGAGAATGTCATTTAGACAAGAAGTACATGTTAATGAGTGGCAGTGTTGTTTCCTGCACTCGTTAGGACTGATGCACTGAATATAATGAGAACTGTAGTGCTCAAATCCCCAAAGAAATTGGAAACTATACAGTTATACTATAGATTTCCCAAACCTGTTGTTGCCCAGATCTTCTGTAGCTCCAAAGCTCAGAGTAAGATTCACTGCTTACTCTACAGATCCTGGTGTCCTTTGGTGGGTGAAGTGTACAAGGGCTGGTCTTACAATATAGATATCAGAAGTGGCCAATGCCCAAATAAGGGACAGGGTATTTCCAGCAGTCCTAAATAAGGCAAGAGGAGGAAAGCACTGATGGAGCCTTGTAGATCCCATAGCTAGGGAGAATTACCTTCTAGTTTCATATTTACTACTTCTGAGCAAGGTTAAGTTGCAGGCAGTGCCATGATAGCTCTAAGCAGGTTTGGATGACACTAATTGTTTAGAATAGATCTAATTATTTAGATCTCTTTCTGTCTGGCTTTCAGCTTCCTGGGGTTGGGACATAAATTGTCTTTGTAGCATCCTGGGGGGTGAACAAATGGGGGCTTTTGATCCTGTTGGTTTTTTGTTTTTGTATCACTGACCCTGGTATGCCCCGGATTCTCTCTCTGGAATGGAAGATGGAGGCATTATGTTCAATGATTTCAGTTACTCCTGAAAGGACAGACCCCGAAAAATTGTGCAGTGCCAAGGGCAACGATGTCACCCAGTTTGGTAAGTCACAGAGTCACCTCTATGGCTCTACTCTCATATATGATCACACCAATATATATATATATATACACACACACACACACACACACACACACGCATGCACACACACGCACATATATATATATATACACACACATAACTATCCGCATTCACCACCTTTTCTGCATACTGAAATTGTACATGTGTAGGTGCATATGTGTGCATGCACACACAAATATAGTTTCCTTGTTCCTGATGCTGCCCAGAGATTGAAGCATGAGCCATAGGAGTCAGTTTGCAGGAGAGCCGAGAAAAAGTAGGGGAAATTAGCAAATTCAAAATGTATGGTTATCCCATCCAGCTGAAAGAAATTTGCCTCTCAGCAATCAGAATTACAAATAAAGTAAATATTTATCTTCACAAATCAAATTATGACACACAAAAGCTTGTGCTTTGGCATATAGTGGGAGAAACATAAGTGATTGTTGACGGAGTCAAAGTCATTTTAGCTGCTGGGGAAACAATCAGGTGTATGGTGAGAAGGAGAATGTGTGTGTGTGTATTCATACACACACACATGTGTTTTAAGGGGGGATATTGAAGGAGAGGGGAATCATTCTGTGTAAACTAGTGGGAAAGAAAGGAGGGACTTAGGGGAGCACATATGACCACGTGCAAGGGAGGATGACAAGAGTGGGTTGAATCATTGTAAAGAAATCCTGCCAATAAGATCTAGAGATACTCGCAGAAATATCTCAGCAAGCGAGAGTTCAAAAGTGGCAGGCTAAAACCTGGAATCTCAATCAGTAACTGATACTGGATGAGAAACTCCCTCCTGGGCACAAAGAAGACTGGGCAACTTGGAAGGCACTGAACAGAGATGCCACGAGATGCAGAATCAACCTTAAGAAATAGGGCTACAAAGTGGAATCCACGACATGCAAGTGGAGAAGAGCAAACCACAGACCACCTATTACAATGCAGTCTGAGCTCCGCCACATGCACAATGGAGGACTTTCTCACAGAGACACCAGAAGCACTCCAAGTGGCCAGCTACTGGACAAGGGACATTTAGTATAATGCCAATTTTTTACAATTCTGTGTTTTTAAAAATACATTACAATAGTACCTTTGGCTCGCTTCTGATACAATAAATACATAAAACCATGGTTTTAAATCAACTCATTTATTTCGATCTGCATTTGGTGCCTATAAATCATTACTACTGCTACGACCGCGTTTGTCACAGTGTTTTGATGTTTTTTAAATGTTGCAACCTACCATGTGAGGGCAATGCAACCTGAAACAGGGAATTCCCTTCTTAAAAATGAATAAAGCCCCCAAAGTCTCCACACACAAATATTGTACAAAGGGGATATTATATCTGAGTTGGAGAAGTAATTATTAATTCAAAAAAAGAGCTGCTGATATATTTTCTGTCAGCAGATCTGATGGTCTTTTGGGAATTTTGCTTCTTTGCAGCCAGAACTAAGCAAAGCACCCTGTAATTACTTACCAGTGAATCTTCCTGGAATTTGATCAAAACATCTCAGGTTTTCAGGGCACATCACAAAATAGTTGCTAGTGTGAGTTTACTTACTGGAGTACAGGAAGTAAGCATACATCTGACTTACAAATGACTCCTAGTTAAGAACGGGGGTGAAACAACAGGAAGTGAGAGGAATCTACTCCTCGGAAGAGAAATTCACTCCTGGAAGAGTTATGAGGGAGAAAAGGTGTCTCCACTGAAGCTTTATCACCAATCCTTGTTTCCATAGTATGCCATTTTTTTTTCAAAACCCAACTGTCACAGGGACAGAAAGTGAGGTGAAATCTTCTGAGAAAGGGCAGCGACCACAAAACAAACATCACAGAGAGGCCCGTAGCCAGGATTTCGATTCGGGGGGGGGGGGGGGGGGCTGAATTTTTTTCAGGGGGGGTTTTGAGGGGGGCTGAGTTTGGGGGGGGCTGAGTCTGAGTGAAAGAGGGTCTAGCCTAGCAAACCTTTTGTATCATTACCCCAATACTACCATGCATATGGGATATATTGAGTATGGTGATCAGATCATGATATGAATAAACATAACAGTTTAAATAACGCACCAGTAAGGCCTTTTCGCGAACCACCATGAGAATTTCGGGGGGGGGGGGCTGAAGCCCCTCAAGGCCCCCCCCCCCCCAGCTACATGCCTGATCACAGAGGTGTTAACCCTTCCCTATGCTATCCAAAAGAAGTATTTTGACTGGAGTTATACTTAAAAGTGTACCTGTTCCAATTGACATACAAATTCAGCAAAGGAACAAATGTACAGAACCGATCTTGTCTGTAACTCGGGGACTGCCTGTATATTTGTCCAACAAGCACCAGTGCCATCGCATCAATTTCATGGACTCTGGAGATGGAGGCCTTCCGAATCTGTGAGGCTGCAAATCTTACTTACTGTCCAGTCCTTCTTTGTTGACGATAGTTGTGCTTCCAAGTGCTTCATAATATTGTTGGTTACTCATCAGGGTGTGCATGCCAAGAATAGCTACATGAGAGAAAAGAAAATTAAAAAATCAGTTGAGCAAAGTTACTGGTTTTCCTTTCTTGGGAAAGTAATGGTTTGGCCAAGACACATAGCAGCCTAGAAAAAAAGCCTGAAACAGCAGTGATAAATGGTTTTGTTTTATTTCTATTTCGAAGGCAAGGAAGTTGAGGCAGAGAATAATTCAAGAAGGTCCAGAATGCCGGCTGAAGACCAACACAGCTCAAATGACAACAACGGGTATGAGCCCCCTTTTTTCCCATAGTCACTTTTGTAGACAACTTTTTCCCCCGAATAGTAATTTACTGTATCATGTTGTTCTTATGGACCTCTTTTCCATTTAGTGAGCCAATTGTCTGTGCATTTTGCCAAAGGTTAAGGAGATTTTTATGCAATTGCTTAGACATTTGAGAGAACAAATTATAGAAGCAGTAAACTTCTTCACACCATTTGGCAGGACGTCCAAAGGACAAGCTCAACAAATGAGTTACAGACACTTCATATCAAATTACCAGTGGGCAAAGAGCCAGCAGCATTTGTCTTCTGGGATGTGAGCCACCCACAGGATTTATAAGGGCCTGACAGAAATACTTGAGAAGCCTCTCCAAATAGATAAACAGCTGGACTTTGTTTGGTTTCAGAGTTAGTCTACACACTCACACGATCACTCTACGGAGTGCATTTAGCAGCACATAGAAACATGACAGTCTAAAAAAGCCATATCCATCCTCAGAAGTAAATGCTCTGGTAGCATGCAGCATACTATATAGCTGTGAACCTAACAGCAGTTTAGAACAGTTATTTACCATGACTTTAACCTGATATTAACTGAAATAACTGATTATTTCTCTACTTTCTGAGCAATTGGTTACACACATATTGCAGTAGGTGCTGCAATCAATTTCCCACATTGGTTAGGGCTTGGGGCAAAGGACATTTGAATTAAAAATACTACCTTTTTATTTGTGCAAAAATCTTTCTAGAAATCTCTAGGTTTTCCTAGAGGTTCTTAGGAAAAAAGCCAATGGGATTTTGGCCTGCATAAATAGGTTTTTTTCCCGTGTTTGAGAAAATGCAAGTTGCTTCTGGTGTGAGAGAATTGGCCGTCTGCAAGGACGTTGCCCAGGGAATACCTGGATGTTTTGATGGTTTACCACCCTTGTGGGAGGCTTCTCTCATGTCTCCGCATGGGGAGACGGAGCTGACAGAGGGAGCTCATCCGCACTCCCCCAGATTCGAACCTGCAACCAGTCAGTCTTCAGTCCTGCCGGCACAGGGTTCAACCCATTGCGCCACTGGGGGCTCCATAAATAGGAGTCTAGTGTCTAGATCCAGGGAAGTCATGCTATCCCTCTATTCTGCCTTGGTCAGACCACACCTGGAATATTGTGTCCAATTCTGGGCACCGCAATTGAAGGGAGATGTTATGACTCCAAGACAAGGATAAAATCCTTTCAGAATAACTACTTACCTGAAAAGCTATTTCAGCATGCACTCTTCTAAATTAAAATTGGAATACTGCTCAGATATCGGATATTATACATTTAGAATGTGTTAAGTGTGTGATGGACTACACTGATAATGGCTAAAAGTAGAAACGACTGTTGCTAGTATCCACTTCATTGCAGCAAAGATAGTCCATAGCAAAACTCATACAGAGATACAACTACCAGTTCCCTTTGAGGGCAATTAATTCTATTGCCACAGGTTCAAAGAAATGGGGGAAATGATTTACCCAAGCAGGTGAGAAGGAGGAGGAAAGGACAGAGCAGAATATCATGCAATATATGGGAGGCAGCCCTCCTCTATGAATGGGGTGGGGCTTTGTTTATTTATTAATGCATGCTTGTAATGGTTTCATGCAATTTCAGAATGAAGGCACACGAACATGTTCCTGAGAGAAGAGGGACATTCTAGCCTTCTCTTACTAGAATTTTATTTTGTTGTTGTTTTGCTGCTTTTCAGAATTATCATATTTTAGCGGATAATAGTCACACACTATTTTTTTAATTTCTTTTTTTTTTGCCTTTAATCTTGTAATCATTGCAGGAGTAATTCTGTTCATGACTACAGTACTAATAGTATTGCCACTCAACCCAATGAAGTACAGTGTTCCCTCACTTATCACGGGTGTTACATTCCACGACCAACCGTGAAAAGTGAAAATCCGTGAAGTAGGGACTATATATATATATATATATATATACACACACATACATACATACATATAATATGTTCCGAGGGAGAGGCAGAAGCGAGGAGAGATTTAAAGGCACCGTGCACCTTTTTTGCTAGCTATAAGGAAGGGGGTATTAGGACGTGATTTACATACTGCTTTGTATCTCCTCTCTCTCTCATGATTAACTGCCTCTCTCTTGAGGGGGAGGATGAACCCCCTTTCCATACTCCATCGTTGCCAGGAGGTGGAATTAGAACACCGCTCTGGGCAACAGCAACCATTCATAAACTGGGAGGCAAAACCCCACAAAACAACGAGTCCACGAAAAGTGAACCGCGAAGTAGCAAGAGAACACTGTAGTGCAGTGCTCTAAACCACTGTTGCTTAAATGGTGGATCCCAACCCCAAATGGGGTTCTCTTTGCTCAGTGTGGGGTTGCAAAATGTTTGACCACAGTGTAAGGTTTCTGAACAACACTTAGACACTTACTTGAATCTCTTAACAACAAGGCGCTAAGATCTGCCAGGGAAACCCTTCTCTCGCTCCCACCTCTGTCACAAACATGGTTGGTGGGGACGAAAGAGAGGTGGTGGCCCCCCGGCTCTGGAACTCTCTCCCCAGGGAAATTAGATTAGACCCCCACCCTGTCCACCTTCCGGAAAGACCTGAAGACTTGGATGTTCCAATATTCCCTTGAATAGTGGTTTAGCTACTGATCAAGTCTGCCTAGCCCCGATCTTTTGGTTGGATCTCCAGCACTTCATTCCCAGCCCCAGCCCCAGCCCTACAGTTTGTGTTTGCACAAGCCCTTGTCCTGCCCTATTAGTCTGAAATCTGCACATGCCCACTTTTCTCAGCTATTGGTTGTTTGGTTTATGTTTTATGATGCCTTATATTTTATTGGTTTTATTGTTTTAATATAGTAGACTGTTACGATTTTTAATTGTGTTACTTTGTAACCTTGTTTATGCTGGGTCTGGTCCCATGTAACCCGCCCCAAGTCCCTTCGGGGAGATGGAGGTGGGATATAAGAATAAAGTTGTTGTATTTGTTATTATTATTATTATTCTCATCATCATCATCATCATCATCATCATCATCATCATCATCATCATTATTACAGTGGAATCTGCAGAAAATGCTTCAGCTTTACTTAAGCAAAAGGAAATATGTCAGCTTAGCAAATCTTGTTACCAGCAAATGTTTAATTTTATGCCTATTGTATATATCAGTGGTTCCCAACCTTTGGTCCTCCAGTTGGCTTGGACTTCAACTCCCAGAAATCCCATCCAGCTTGCCAACTGTTAGGAATTGTGGTAGATGACGTCCAAAATATCAGAGACATGTAATGATTTCTCAGGAGAAAGGTGGTAAAAAAAAATTCTCAAGCAGAAAGTGGTCACGAGTCAAAAAAGTTTAAGAAACCCTGCTCTAAACAAGCTACACAAGTGGTTAAAAAGGGTGGTGTTCCTGTAATGGTACGTTCAAGCCTTTGGGAAAAACTATAGTGTCTGGCTTTACTCGAGGCTTTCTGATAACCTTCTGTTAAGATTAAGACCCTCAGCAGACAGAGGCACTGTAGGCAAGGTGAAAAGATAACAAAAATTATTGCATAACTCAAAACAATACATTACGAAGGGAGATCTTGCTGGTTGCAGTCATCTTTCTGGGGTCTTTGAAAAGTCTCTCTTGCCTCTGGTGCACAGCAATGGTTATAAACTGTCTTAATCTTCTTCCTTGTGAAGCTTAGGCTGGCCAAAAGGTTCTGTTGTCCTTTGGACGGGTGGTATAAAAATACTGCTAAATGCAGGTGCTAAGAATGCCTGTTTGGATTGCTTGCGCCGAGGATACCAGGCAATCTGTAACTCTTAACTGTAGCTCTGATGTAGAAAAAGGAGGAGTCCAGCAAGAGAGCTCTATACAGGGAAAAGGAACAGACCAACTAAGGCTGGCCTCTGTGGGGTGTTTTTATGCTCCACCCAAAAACTAATACAAAGGAAGGCAACTACACTATTGGGAAAGCCTATAAACCGGGGAAACTAAAGCAGATGAGAGGAGAAGGCAGAACCAAGACTTCACAGCTCCCCTTGAAAGAACTGTCTTTAAAAGGGTGGCTTTAAAACACTGCAATACAAAGTTTCTCGTGATGGTTGCACCCAATTTTGTTTGGTCAAAAAAATGGCACAAAATCTGCAATGATAATGTGGTGAAATACAATAATTTCAAGATGATATGATGAACGTTAAGGTAGGAAGGCATATACTGGCCAAACACCAGACCACAATTTCAAGTACAAATTGAAACTCCACATAAGTGAATGGACAGAGAGAACTCTAGCTTGCCAGCTTACATCTGATGAAGAGTACTTAGGCAGGTGATTAAGCAATATATTGACCTAGTGTGTAAACCCCAAATCACAATCCAGTCAGCTTTTTCAAATACAAAATGAACAAGCAGCAAAACGATTTTGGACAACAGGGCAGAGCAGCAGGCCTAATGCAATTGTGCATTCCTAAAACAGGGCCATGAGGTAACCCGCACGGTTCTCTTACAGTCCCTCTGCGACTTCTAATGTGATGGATGATGTCATGGGAAAATGGGAGGAACAGGCAGCAGGCTGGAAAAAACAGACATAGTTTAAGCAGGAGGGGTGGTTCAATAGCTATGGAATGAGAGAGAAAAAGGGGAAAGACGCAGTGAAATGGTAGTTAACGTGCACTTATGGAAAATAAGCCAAAGCAACTTGAACTAGGTCTTCTTGACCCTAGGCTCACGCTAGAGACAAGAATGAAAATAGCAACTGCATGTCATCCTCCAGTTTCATAACTCTTAAGTAATAATCTCTGTGGGACATGCCAGGGCTCCATATCTAACCACTGTTGCTATTGCTGGGATGGAAAGCAGGAGGAGAATTCAGATTCATAACATATATAAGAAAAACAAGCAAGGAAACAGAGGAGACAGAAAGTACAGATGTCATGCAGTTATGATAATCTCTAATCTGGTCTTTGCGCAATATTTTGAGACAAAAGTATGTCAATCAGGAGTAGATGCAGACAATATATTTCTCCTCCAGCAGTAATTTATAGGAGGAACATTCTCACGTTCACATCACTAAGCGATTGGCACAAACCTCTATGGGCTAGATCTTTACCACCAACTAATCCCGGTCCACCTACAGTTGCTTAGAAAAAAGACTGGACTTCAAACTATGTAATCAGCTGATCAACTATTATCTACGTCTGTGCCCTGCTATGTCACACCACTGGCCATGACATAGGTGCAATTGATGGTAGCATCTCAAGATGAGAAGAAATCTGTTATAACTTCAGTGATCATATGAGCGAGTATCACATCACACCACAATAACACTATAATAATATTATAATATCAAAATTAAATGCAAGGAATTATAGTGCTAGAGGGCTATAATGATCCCATCCTGTTTTCTTCAATGAAAAAAAGGTATAGTGCTGTAACATCATAAAGATACAACAGTCATTTTTTGCAGGACTATATACATTTTTTATCATGTCAGAATCGCAAGTCGCTTCTGGTGTGAGAGAATTGGCCGTCAGCAGAGACGTTGCCTAGGGGAAGCCCGGATGTCTTACTATCCTGTGGGAGGCTTTCCTCATGTCCACACATGGGAAGCTGGAGCTGACAGATGGGAGTTCACCCCATCTCATGGATTTGAACCACCAACCTTCAGGTCAGAAGTTCAGCCGGCACAAGGGTTTAACCCAGGCATGGGTAAACTTGAGCCCTCCAGGTGTTTTAGACTTCAACTCCCACAATTCCTAGCAGCCTCAGGCCCTTTCCTTTTCCCCCTCAGCCACTTACACTCCAGCACCAGAGCACTTAAGCGGCTGAGGGGGGGAAAGGAAAGGGCCTGAGGATGCTAGGAATTGCAGGAGTTGAAGTCCAAAACTCCTGGAGGGCTCAAGTTTGCCCATGCCTGGTTTAACCCATTGTGCCACCGTGGCTCCTAGAACTGTAAAGTAATAATACTAATATGTGGGTGTGAATTTAGTTTTGAAAATAAACAATTATAGTAATTCCAAATAATTATAGCATAGCAATTCTACTTCATTTTCAAATACATCACTAAAAAGTTGTTATATACAATTAAAAGATTGCTATATGGAATAACATTCACTGGATTGGTTATAGCCAATGTGTGCTAGCACTGCAATTCTATTTAATTTTCAAATACAGCATTAAAAAGTTGTTATATATAATTAAAAGACGGGTATATGGGACTGCAGCACTCACAGGAATGGTTATAATCAACGTGTGCTAAATTCTATTGTGGTGTAGCTTTATCCACATAATAGATGCATTCTTTTAAAAAATCAAAAACGATGAGCTAAACACATCTGCTGTTTTATGTTTATCTTTAAAAGTTGGATTTTCAGCAGACCGAGAAAAGACAGAAGAAACAAAGGAGGCAAAAACAGAACGATAATGATTGGTTAACAGTATCAAGTAAAAAAAAGAGTAATGAATTGTGATTTCACACTGAAACTAGAGTGGCAGCACTCAGGTTCTTTAGGTTCTTTCCAGTCTTCGCAGTCTGTAAGGACTGCCAAGGAAGTCTGTTCTTTCTTCTTGGATTTTAAGTAAATGGGGTTCTGTTGATATCTGAATACTCCTCCATATGAAACACTATGTATTAACGTAAACAGTAACCAATACAATAAGTCAAGTCCCTAGATCCTTGCATTTTACCTGCAATATCACAGAGCTCAGCGTCTGAGGCATTTGCTAAGGCTTCCTCCAGTTCTGGTTCCAGAGTAACACTCTCCAAAACAGGATCTATAGCTTTTTGCTTGGGAACCCAAATTTTTCCTATTAAAAAGAAAGAAAGTGGTGTCAGTTCATGCTAGCAGGTTTGCAGTCATTTTAATGATGGAGGTCAACATTCCTTGCTGCCTATGACTTATCTGACGGCCTCATAGCCACTTACTAGGATGTACAGGACTGTAAAAAACCCAATAAGTTTCACTAGTAAAGTAATTCTTTACATAGAATTGTAGGTGTTATTTTAGCACTGGTTTAGAAAAGACATAGGTTATAACACTGTATGTAGACACTTACTCTTCAATAGCTACATGAAACCACTGGATGAGGTCATCTGGAGTTTTGGAGTTTGGTGTCATCTGTATGCAGATGACACACAACTCTATTACTTGTTTCCACCTCAATTCAAGGAAACTCCCGAGTTCTGGACTGATGCCTGGCAACTGTGATGGGCTGGATGAGGGATAACAAACTGAAGCTGAATTCAGACAAGACAGAGGTCCTCCTGGTCAGTCGTGAGGCCGAGCGGGGTATAGGGTGGCAACCTGTGCTGATGCTTGAAGTTTAGGTGTTGGCGGTGGCCGGGAAGGACTATGAACAATTAAAGCTTGTAGGGTTGCCTCTGAAGACGGTTTGAAAGCTTCAACTAGTACAAAGATCAGCAACCAGGCTGCTGACTGGGGCCAATACCCCCATGCATATGGGATATATTGAGCATGGTGATCAGATCATGATATGAATAAACATAACAGTTTAAATAATGTACCAGTAAGGCCTTCTCGTGGACCACGCTGAGAATTTGGGGACGGACTGAAGCCCCTCAAGCCCCCCCCCCCCAGCTACGGGCCTGCCGCAAGCCACAAAAATTCCACAGAAACGACTCAATCCATTCTAGGTGAAATATCCAGAAAAAAAAGCCAAGAATGCTTATTGTTTAGGAAACCAAATTCAGCAGATGTGCAAGACTAAATGCAAGTGAGTCTAAAATTACAGAAATTGCTCAGGAATCACATTTTGCTAACAATCCCAGGCAACTCATTTGTGTTCTGGAAAACCGTCACAACAACAACATTTCAGTAGCCACGCTTACCAAATTCACTAGCTGAGGAAAAATGAATGTGATTGATGCAACAGGCCAGAAACAATTAATAGGAATCAGGGCCATAATTCTGTATTTCAAAACATGACCCAAACATTCCTGTGGAAGTTTTTTTTTTTTTTAAGAGCATATGTCTTGTTATATAACACCCATCTAAAGCTTTGCATATCTGATGAACTTGTAGATATGACTTGTTAGGTCTCTGCCATGTGTTACAGAATACACATCTTGTATATACGTTACATTAATAATATTACAAAATCTAAAGTTACAACATTTATAAACAGACAACAAATTGAAAACAGAGGATGAAATTCTTCTATTCTCTGCAAAAACAAGATGAGAAGCAAACAGCTGATATTAAAAATTGGAACAAAACTAAAGAACACGAAGTCAATCACTGTGCCAAAATGCAATCTGAAGAACATCCCTGTAGAATTCAAAGACCATGTAAAAATAGATTTCCACTGTAAAGCCTAATTGACCAAGAGCCAGAAGAACTCTGGACTGAAACCAGGAACATTGTCTGGGAAGAATACAGAAAGACACTATCTACTGCCCAAACGAAAGAGAAGTCTCAGTGGGTGACACATTGGAGCAGTTAAGGAAGGACAAGAAGCAAATGAAACAAGTGACAGAAATTGGGTCAGAATCCTGAACAATCTGTTCAGCAATCTGCATACATGGGCAATTATTACTATAATGCAGAGAAATAGATGATAACAACAAAAAAGGAAGAACAAGAGACCAAGGGAGGATCCTCACTGCAGAATTATTGCAACCTTTCATTTTGAAAAAAAACATTTTATTTCTCTGAAATTTGTGGTGTCAAATCTCAACTAGGGCTTAATATCAACATTTATTTATTTATTTAAAGTCCAATTTAAAATGTTAAAAATGGATAAGCAACCATTTTGTTTACAGTACTGGACTACAATTATGCATGGACAATATCTGAAGTCCATAACAACACCCAGGTTTATTTCCCATGATAACATTATGCAAACACCTAGGAACTACTTCTTCACTTTAATTCGACAATTTGATGGATAGCAGGAAAAAATAAAACTATTGAATGGTTAGAAAAAAATTCAGCACTGGAATGACTTGGAATAATGATTGGATTGTATAGTATTGTTGAAGGCTTTCATGGCCGGAATCACTGGGTTGTTGTAGGTTTTTTCGGGCTATATGACCATGTTCTAGAGGCATTCTCTTCTGACATTTCGCCTGCATCTATGACAAGCATCCTCAGAGATTGTGAGGTCTGTTAGAACTAGGGAAATGGGTTTATATATCTGTGGAATGACCAGGGTGGGACAAAGAACTCTAATCACTTCTCAACAAAAGATTGCCCCAGGCACTAACAAGACTCACCAAACAACTGCCAGGCCATCAAATGCTAATCAAGGTGGTAAGTTGAAACATTCACACCTGGCTCCAACAGACAAGAATTCTTTGTCCCACCCTGGTCATTCCACAGATATATAAACCCATTTTCCTAGTTCCAACAGACCTCACTACCTCTGAGGATGCTTGCCATAGATACAGGTGAAATGTCAGGAGAGAATGCCTCTAGAACATGGCCATATAGCCCGGAAAAGCCTACAATAACCCAGGATTGTATAGTGTTTGCCACACTGGAGCACTGATATGATTCATTTTGCTAGGGGAACATGAAATCAAATTGAGCACACATGGAGGCACGCAATCAAGCAACAGACAGTCCAAATTAATCAATCACTTTACTGTCAGAAGGGTAACTTGCAAAATAGAGTGGCAGTGGTTGGAGATTAAAGACATCCACTTTTTGCACTTTTCCCCTTTGGTCATTTCCTTCTCTAAAGGCTCATAAGAACCACTATTGTGGAATTTTTTGAAGAATGGGGATCAGAATTCAAAGAGTGGAAATTGAAGTTGTGGTGTGAGAAAGAAGAAAGGGGTCCTCTTTAAACAACTAACTAGGAGCTGTCTATCAAAGAGATAGCATACTCATTGCTCCGGGCATGGAATGTGACACCGGGGCTATTTTTGTCCTCGCTGCCCATGCAATGCAGAATGAAAAGGAGGACAAAGACCATGTTGTCCGGAAAGCAGCTTGAAGGTTGAGCTTGGCTAAATTTAGGCCTCACAAAGAAGCAACTGCTTTGCTGGACTGTCCTTTGAGATGAAACAGAAAACTAACAGGAGTCCTTTAAGGAACAGTCCCCTCAATTTCCTTTACATTATAAAAGAAACACTGAGAGACGTTTTTACAATAGACTCATAAAAACAGGATATACAACAACAGTTCACTTTTAGAAATTTGAAGGACAAGTAATATAGTCACCAATTTGCTGACTGGATTTCGTTTTCCTTTAAAGCAAGGACTGAATAAATACATTATGTTTAAATCCACAAGCTTACATTTTTTATACACCTTGCTCAGAGTAAGTCCCTCTGAACTCAGTGCAGAATTGTCATTTTTAGTCTGCTATGTTTTTTGATATTGTTGTTTATGTATTATGTTTTTTAGTTTTGTACTGTGACTTATTTTATGTAAGCTGCCCTGAGTCCTGTTTGAAAAGGGGGCAAAATATAAATAAATGTGATGATAATGACGATTGTTTCAATGAGGCAAGTTTCACTAACTGCCATCCAGTGATTTTTCTGAGCAATGGATAGGGCGCCTTTCATTGTAATGAGAGTTATGCAGAACAACTTCTTGGGAGATTGTCGCCAGCATATCATCTGCAGAAAAGCTGGGGAAGTCTGAAGATTTTTTTGGCTCTCGTGTCCCAGCAGCCACAGCTAGGATGGCTACAGCTAGGATGGCTACTGGTAAGGGATTATGGGGTTGTAGTCCAGAACAATCCCAGTTTGGAACCTGAAGCCGTTTCTGCCTCAGTTTTGTGAGATAATTGGAGAAAATAATGGCAAAATATTTCATATGATCAGAAATTAAAAGTTAGCAAAAGACATCCAGAATTTTCTTTTGTGAAATATCACAAGAGGAAATTCCAAACTGGAGTGTGTGAACTGAAACATCTTTGAAGGCATGCACACTTTAAGCAGAAAGAGAGAAAGGGCGAGGATGGAAAGATCCCTTTCAATATGCCTAGGCAACTGATGGCAGGATGTCTGCAGTTTCATTTCCCCCTCTAGGAATCAAGAGCAACCATTCACTTACATCAGGTGTTCCCCTACAGCTATATCAGTTGGGAAGGTGAGAATATCTTCTCTTCCAATGCAGAAATCTCAGCATCCATGGGGAAAGGGGAAAGGGGGAGAGATTGCTGAGGGAATGAAGGACACAGTAAACTTCATCCCCCACTTTGATCGTATACTAGCCGGACTGGGGTAACTGTGTTGGAGCTATCAACTGTACTTTCCCTGGGTTGCTGTAGGTTTTTTCGGGCTATATGGCCATGTTCTAGAGGCATTCTCTCCTGACGTTTCGCCTGCATCTATGGCAAGCATCCTCAGAGGTAGTGAGGATGCTTGCCATAGATGCAGGCGAAACGTCAGGAGAGAATGCCTCTAGAACATGGCCATATAGCCTGAAAAAACCTACAACAACCCAGTGATTCCGGCTATGAAAGACTTCGACAATACGTTGTACTTTCCCTGTTGCTGGCAAGTTAGGGTGGTTCCACACAGGGCTTTAACCCTCACACACCTTCCCCCAACATCTGTGCTTTCCTGTGAGAGGGGGTTGTCCAGATGCCCTGCCAAGCTTTCTGGCAGGGCACCTGAACACAAAACAACCCCACCCCCGAAAAGCCTTAAAAAGAAAATAACTTACCTGGCCACTGTTCCCCCTTCTCTGGAGCTCTCCTGGAGCGTAGAAATGAAGTACCAGAAGAACTCTGGAGAAGGAGAATTGCGGCTGGGTAAGTTATTTCCTTTTTGAGGCTTTTTAAGGGAGGGGGAAGGGGCTGTCTTGGGTTTTTGGGGTTCCAGGAGCCCAAGAAACCCAAGACAGCTGTATGGATGGGTACCGGAAGTCACACAACGCGATCCCCAAGCCCAATCCACACAGCACCTGCAGTTGTTGTTGTTTTTTTAAATATATTTTTATTTTTCTTAAAATACATCAATATCTTCAATACTCTTAGGTTCGATACTCAATTTATTACATCAACTATATGTGTATATATCTTGCATACTTTTTTTTGTTCACCTCTGTGCCCCCCACCCTTCCGAGCCATTTCAATTTACATTCTCTTTCCAAAATACCATTTCTTCTTGTGGAGGTAATTTCCCATCTACTTCTTTTAAGCCGTTCTCAATAAATTTTCCCCAAACTTCATCAAAGTCGTTTTCCTTCCATACCCCTTTCCTGACTCTTAAACTACATGTCAAATTACCATTTATTGCTAGTTTCCATAGTTCTTTATACCATTCTTCAATTGGTATATTTATTTTACCTTTCCAGTTCCTCGATATCAGTAATCTTGCTGCAGTTAACATATTATCTATTGCATCTTTCTCTGTTTTCCCCCCAATTTCTTAACGTTATATAGTGACAACAATGCAATGCTTGCACTTCTTCCTATTTTTATACCCATTATAGCTTATATTTCTCCAAATACCTTCCCCCAAAATTCATTTACATATTTACATTGCCATCACATATGTATATATGTACCCACCTCCTGGCAACCTCTCCAACAGTTTTTTGTGGCATTCCTATTAATATTTGCAGTCTTTACTGGTGTTAAGTACCATTTCCAAACCAATTTATAATAATTTTCTTTAACACGTATCGATAAAGACACAACCTTCTGAAAGACCCAGGTCTTTCCAGCTGTCAAATTATTTCAGCACAAAGCAGGATTTTTCTCTGCCTGGAAGGAGACATAAATAGCAGCAAAACAGACATCATGCAAGCCCAAGAACACCAAGTAACAAAAAGGTCCATCGCCTACCTTTTTTCTCCCCTGTAAAAGGAACCAGGTCTTCTCTGTCTTTGATATCAATTGCCTCCTTTTCCAAATGTGCCAGAAGATCATCTCTTTTGAAGGGGCCAGTAGGATTTTTCTTCGTTTGATCTCTCTGTCTCATTCCTGCAGGCAGCAATGCATTCTAGATTTTTGAAAAGAGAGGAAAATACTTGAACGGTGGTCATTATCTATCTTCTTAAATGAAATATTACTAAATTGTCAAAGCACAGGAGACAGTATACATAGCATTGTCAAGCACATGCTTTTTAGCATACTGAAGGGCCCAGTGTAATCTCCATTATCTACAGGTATATTTATTATGGGGAATACACCCACTTTTCATATCAAATTACTACACTCCTCAGTTTTTAATAGAAGTCCTATGCCTTTTCAGGACTCACTTGTGGCAACATTTCAAAACTTTTCTTACTAAAATAAAAGTATAACATTAGCGTCTTATACATGGGCAGGCAATATACCTTTGCTTCACCTGAAGGAAGAAGCGACCAGTCAGTTGGGAGGTTAAATTCCTTTCATCCCCCCCCTTCCCATGATAAAAACGGGCTTTTCCCATACATTTTAAAGGGTGCTGTGTCATAAAAACTGTTGATGTGAAATGTGTGTCTGATTCACATTTTGATGTGCAACCATGCCCTTTGAAAAACAATAAATTCTCTATCTTCTCAGCATCCCAACTGCTATGGAGGAGGAAAAGAGGAGGATGGGTGTTCAAGAGGAGTTGGTGATGGTGGTGGTATTGGAGAAGGAGGGGGATGAAGCTTCTTGTCCCATTTTCTCTCCCTTTACATCAGTCTAATAGGAAGGTACACTGTCACCATATCTGCAACCTCGACGGTTCATCCCCAGCAAGCTACCACCTGGATTGCCAATCTTTCTTCTCTTCCTGGCTCTCTATTTCCAAGAAAAACAGCAGCCAGGCATCATCTAATTCACTGTAATTCCAGGAGCTGTAGTCTGGCAAAGTACTGTTTCCATACACTAACCAAGGCTTGGTGACATCATGCTTGGAGCTGTGCTGCCACAATGGGTTAAACCCTTGTGCTACTGAACTGCTGACCTGAAGGTTGGCAGTTCAAATCCATGAGATGGGGTGAGCTCCCGTCTGTCAGCTCTAGCTCCCGCCAACCTAGCAGTTCAAAAACCTGCAAACTCAAGTAGATAAATAGGTACTGCTTTGACAGGAAAAGACAATGAGACGCTCCAAGCAATCTTGCCAGCCACACAACCAGCTTTAAAATGGAGCACCTCCCCAGAGCCAGAGATGAGTACTGCCTCCAGAAGCCATAAATGAAAGGAGAAGCCTCTGTTTTTGTTTGTGTTTGTGTGTCTCATTGTATATGATTGTAAAGGCATTGAATGTTTGCCTATGTATGTAAACGTAAGTGCTGTAATCCACCTTGAGTGCTCTAGGGGAGAAGTGTGACATACAAATAAAGTGTATGATTATTATTGACACAAAAGCACAGTATGTCACAGCAAATGAGATCTATGTGCTGGATTTCGTATCACAAAATCACAAGTCGAACATTTCCCAAGTGTCTAGGACTGTGTGATGTATTTTCGAATGATGCGCGCAGATCCAAGTAAGGTGGCCTTTTGCAGTTGACAGATCATGATTTTGTCAATGTTTATTGTTACCAAATGCTGGCTGAGATCTTTTGGCACGGCACCCAGTGCGCCAATGACCACTGGGACCACCTGTACTGGTTTATGCCAGAGCCTTTGCAGTTTGATTTTGAGGTCTTGATAGCGGATAAGTTTTTCCTGTTGTTTTTTCTCAATGCGACTGTCTGGATGATGGCGAACAAATTGAAATTGAATCCAGACAAGACAGAGGTACTCCTGGTCAGTCGCAAGGCCGAACAGGGTATAGGGTTACAGCCTGTGTTAGACGGGGTCGCACTCCCCCTGAAGACACAGGTTCGCAGTTTGGGTGTGATCCTGGACTCATCACTGAGCCTGGATCCCCAGGTTTCGGCGGTGACCAGGGGAGCATTCGCACAGTTAAAACTCGTGCGCCAACTGCGACCGTACCTTGGGAAGTCTGACTTGGCCACGGTAGTCCACGCTCTAGTCACATCCCGTATTGACTACTGCAATGCTCTCTATGTGGGGTTGCCTCTGAAGACTGCTCGGAAGCTTCGAATGGTCCAACGATCGGCAGCCAGGATGCTAACAGGAGCGGCACTCAGGGAGCATACAACTCCTCTGCTGTACCAGCTCCACTGACTGCCGATTTGCTACCGGGCCCAATTCAAAGTGCTGGCGTTGGCCTTTAAAGCCCTAAACGGTTCTGGCCCAACATATCTATCCGAACGTATCTCGGCCTATCAGCCCACCAGGACCCTAAGATCTTCAGGGGAGGCCCTGCTCTCCATCCCACCTGCTTCACAGGTGCGGCTGGTGGGAACGAGAGACAGAGCCTTTTCTGTGGTGGCCCCTCAGCTTTGGAATGCCCTCCCCATAGAGATAAGATCAGCTTCCTCGCTGATGGTATTTCGAAAAAGACTCAAGACATGGATGTTTGAACAAGCATTCGGCTAATCCGGTGCGATGAAGTTGATGATCAAGGACTGGCAATCATAGACGATGAAATTGGATTATGATTTTAGTTGAGAGATGCATTGGTCTGTATTGGTGGCCCGATACTGTGTATTGTATATGTGTTTTATGTTTTTAAATTGAATATTGTTGTTTTTAAGTGTTGTAAACCGCAATGAGTCGCCGTTTTAGGCTGAGATATTAGCGGTATACAAGCGTATTAAATAAATAAATAAATAAATGAATAAATGAATAATCCAGACTTTTTTCTTTTCCACAACCGTGATGTCTGGTGTATTGTGTTCCAAAACTTTGTCAGTCTGGATTCGAAAGTCCCACAGTATTTTTGCGTGTACATTTTCCACAACTTTTGCGGGTTTATGATCCCACCAATTCTTTACTGCTGGCAGGTGCTACTTGTGGCATAAGTTCCAGTGAATCATTTGTGCCACAGAGTTGTGCCTTTGTATATTATTATTATTATTATTATTATTATTATTATTATTATTATTATTAGAAACACAACAAGATTAGTACACAGCAAACAAGATCACTCTGCTGGCTGTTGTATTGGATCACACGTCAGTCACTTCTCAAGTTTCTAGGACTGTGTGATGTATCGGCGAATAATGCGTGCAGATCCCAGTAAGGTGGCCTTTTGCAGCTGATAGATTATTATGACTTCCAAAAGTCATATTGCCTGAAGGACTCTGTAGTCCAAAGAGGTAATCTGCCAGAGTCCTAAGTGTGGGAAAGTGCATTTAGCTAAAAGGCTGTCACATTGCTTCTACCCAACTCATAAACTGCTGGTTTATGGGTTGGGTAGAAGCAATGTGACAGCCATGCTGTGAGGAAAGGCTTTGCATAACCCCCCTTTTTCATAGTCCTTATTTTCACTTTATAAAAAATAGAAACAACTTTTACCAACATTTCCCTGTCACAAAAGCACACTCCTCATTCTGCAGAGGCCAAGAACTGCTCTGGAGAATGGCTGGGTTGTTTGCATCTTCATTTAAAAGTTTCTATCCATTTGGAGAAAAAATGCTCCCAAGTGAAATTGATCATTTGGTTGAAACAGAAAGGAGTAGAATATTTTCCAATCATAATACACCTTTGATGCATCATGCTCCCCATTACTCTCCACCAATAAATAACCAGAGGGTGTAGAAAATGAGATGTTAACTATTTTTAATTTTTCTCCTTTGTTGACGTGGTCAAATCCCACTATGCTAGTCCAGCTTTTAAAAATGTTTACAATAACGTAATAAATAAAACATATGCAACCAATGCTAATACATTCCATGCAAATGTGATGGTGATCTTGTAATGTAATCCAACATTTCAGAGATCAAGTGTTGGAAGCAATTCAAACAATTAAAAGGGATCATTTCCCCAAAGACTACAATTGTTGGAAAGGCAGTGAGGAAATAGCAAGGCCTTGCTGAGTAACCTTTTGGCAGGCGTACAAGTACTAATTGCTAAGTGCTGAAAAGCAAAGCTGCCAATTTTAAATGAATTATGCAGGAAAACACAGAATGGCACGCTAACGACAAATCTTTCAACGATTCTATGTGTGGACAGATTGAGATCAGAGCTTGGGTAAATTATATTTTTTGTACTACAACTCCCAGGATCTCCCAACAAGTATCATCATGGTTGACAGAACTCAATATTCAATTTATATCAGAAAGAAGAAAGAACTAAGGTGTCCTATAAAATCAAATTGTTCTTGCATGCCTTCAAGTCATTTCTGACTTATGGTGACCCTAAGATGAATGTATCACAGTGTTTTTATGGGGATGAAAGTATGTGACTTGGTCAAGATCATCAAACCCTGGCCCACTGGATTAACTGAGCATCTGGATTGTATCAAAAATTACCAATTATGGCAGGGGTTCTCAAACATTTTCAGTCACAGAGCCCTCTTTGAAGCAAAGTTTCTCATGGAGTTCCAAGAAGTTATGTGTGTTATGTGTATGGATATATATGTGTATATGTGTATAAAGAGATAGATGGATAGATGGATAGATGGATAGATAGATAGATAGATAGATAGATAGATAGATAGATAGATAGATAGGCTAAACTTTTGGATACAGGGGCCACATTGTATTTTATAATTTGACAGGAGGGACGGGCCAGTGACAGATGGATGTAGAGTGTTTCTGTGAACTAATTGGAAAAAAATGAACAAATTCCTATGTGCGCTGCACATATCTCAGTAGTCGTGTAAAGAAAGAAAGAAAGAAAGAACAATACAATATTTAAAAGGAACAAAAATTTCAACCAACATAAACTTAACAATATTTTAGTGGAAGACCCCAGGGGTCATCCAGTCCAACCCCCTTCTGCCTTCCAGGAAAAGCACAATCAAAGCACCACGAACGGATGGCCATCCAGTCTTTGTGATGATGATGATGATGATGGGAGCAACCCCAAGGGCCGTCCAATCCAATCCCCTTCTGTCATGCAGGAAAAAAACAATCAAAGCACCCCAACAGACGACCATTCAGTCTTTGTAATAATAATAATAGGAGCAACCCCAAGGGCTGTCCAGTACAACTCCCTTTTGTCATGCAGGAAAAACACAATCAAACCAGTCCCAACAGATGGTCATCTAGCCTTGTAATAATAATAATAATAATAATAATTTATTTCATATCAATAGTAATAATAATAATAATAATAATAATAATAATAATAGCAGAAATCCCAGGGGCTATCCAGTCCAACTCCCTCCTGCCATGCAGGAAAAACACTATCAAAGCACCCCCAACAGATGACCATCCAATCTTTGTAATAATAATAATAATAATAATAATAATAATAATAATAGGAGCAACCCCAGGGGCCATCTAGTCCAACTCCCTTCTGTCATGCAGGAAAAACACAATCAAAGCACCCCCAACAGATGACCATCCAGTCATTGTAATAATAATAATAATAATAATAATAATAATAATAATAAAGGAGCAACCCCAGAGGCCATCCAGTCCAACTACTTTTTGTTATGCAGGAAAAACACAATCAAACCAGTCCCAACAGATGGCCATCCAGTCTTTGTAATAATAATAATAATAATAATAATAATAATAATAATAGCAGAAATCCCAGGGCCATCCAGTCTAACTCCCTTCCGTCATGCAGGAAAAACAAAACCAAAGCACCCCCAACAGATGGCCATCCAGCATAGTGTTGCAGATCAATTATGCTATGCTGGAGGGCTTCTGTTAGGCAGCTGATCAACTACTGTATGAACAGAATCTTGCACCTTTGTTCTGATCCACTTTGTTCTTATCTATTTTTCTTATCAGAAGAAAGATATTAAATTATCAGGGCATTATCTGCTCAATTCCCAAAGAGGCTAAAATCAGATGCAGCTCCTATCAAATTGAGCTGGAGGTGAAGAGCTCAAAGGAGAAGCAGAGTTACCTGTGTGAGCAGCAACATCCCTCAATGCTCAAGCCCAAATCAGCACATTCTGACTGGGAGCACATTGAAATTGGTTTCATATAGGCCATAGAGCAGCGCAACACCTGGTCTGGCTGGCTGACGCTTCCTTATTGAACCAAATGGCTCCCTTTGGTTCGAACTTAGTTAAATCCCTACCAATATATTTCATATCCCAAGGTACACAGCAGCCTTGGACTAGCCTTGATACCAAGTGAGAAAATCACAAGCCCAAAGTACAAAAGTATTGGTTTTCACAGTGTTATTAAAAATGGAAGTTCTCCAATAATAAGCTGAAAAACTGAAAAACTGCAGTACGCCACACCATTAAAGAGGTGCTCTTTGAAACTACTTACATCTGGATCTAGCTCTACCAGTTCCTCCTCTAAAATCTTGATTTCATCTTCTGTCAGTGCTCCCAAGATCTGGTCTTCATCCAGGTCTCGGTACTTCTCCAGTCCTTGTCTGTATGACATTCTGGGGAACTTTTTATGGTAATCTCTCTCTCTTCAGAATAAATTACCTATTGAAAAACAAAAAGGAAGAAAAACAGGACAAGATTAACATTTGAATTTTATACTGGTTCAAATGTCAGCATTAAACCAATGAATAAAATATGCAATATAATATAGTGTATATGTTTTTTTAAAGCTAAAAAGTGATCAAATGATAATCATAATGTAAACTTACTAAGCCAGAAATGACAAAGTTCTGCATGATTTAAAACTCAGTAAAAACTGTTGTTGTTGTTGTTGTAAACCATTCTGGAAGTAATACTCCAGAGGTTTACTTCGGGCTTGTTTACATCAGCCAATTATTTCAGGACAGGTCTGGAGCAAAAATTCTGCTTCAGGGAATTTATATGGATTTTTTTGTCATGCCATTTTTATCATATTGTAAGGATAAAAGGTAAAGGTAAGTCTGGTTGTGTCTAATTCTGGGGGGGGGGTGCTAATCTCCATTTCTAAGCCAAAGATCCTGCATTGTCCGTAGACACCTCCAAGGTCATGTGGCCGGCATGACTGCATGGAGCGCCATTACCTTCCCACTGAAGCAGAACCTATTGATCTATCACATTTGCATGTTTTTGAACTGCTTGGTTGGCAGAAGCTGAGCCTAACAGCAGGAGCTCACTCCGCTCCCTGAATTCGAACTGCCAACCTTTCGGTCAGCAAGTTCAGCAGTTCAGTGATTTAACCTGCTGTGCCACTGGGGGCACCAATAATAATAATAGAAATAATAATAATAATAATTAATAATAATAATAATAATATCCGGCATTGTCTATAGATACCTCCAAGGTCAGGTGGCCGGCATGACTGCATGGAGCACCATTACCTTCCCGCTGAAGCAGTATCTATTGATCTACTCAACATTTGCATGTTTTTGAACTGCTAGGTTGGCAGAAGCTGGGGCTGACAGCAAGAGCTCACTCCACTCCCTGGATTTGAACTGCCAACCTTTCGGTCAGCAAGTTCAGTGGTTCAGTGATTTAACCCACTGCGCCACTAGTTATCATCATCATCATCATCATCATCATCACCACCATTTCTTTAGAAAGAGAACAAAGACGTGGTTGTGGGATCAAACCTTTGACTAATAAATAATTAAAGAACTTGGCTGTAGTATGGTTATGGTATACGATTTCTGGATCATGGAATGTTCATGTTTATACTAGGATGATTTTCTGCTTTGTCTGAATGTTTGAATTTTATGTATGACTTATGTTTAATGGTTTTAATTGATTGTAATAACTGATTACACGTAGTAATCAGTTATTATGATTTCTTTGTGTACTACATGTTGGCATTGAATCTTTGCCATTAGTATGTTGTAAACCGCCTTGAGTTCCCCAAGGGGTGAATGCAGTACACAAATAAATGAATGAATGAATGAATAAATAAATAAATAAATAAATAAAGTTTTATGCTCTGTTCCCAACTTGTAGCAGTGGAAGGGTGGCAACTACATATTCCAGATGGCCATCGTGAATGGCCTATGCTGACATCAGCTTAGTCATCTGCACATCTAGGGAAAAGGAGGGGCAGCAGTGGACTAATATAGACAGGCAGGTGCACTTGAGATGGGCCGGGAGGTGTGTAAGGAAGCGCGGGTAAGAAAATAATGTATAAAATATATAAAATAATGTATAAATATTAAAATTTGCGGATTTTCACTTATCGCGGGTGATCCTGGAACGGAACCCCCGCGATAAGTGAGGGAACACTGTATTGTCCTGGACCATCCTGAGTTAGAAAGGTGTGTGGGGGGACGGGACACTCAGCTTGCATAATATAATAGAAGCAAATATTGCACTTCTCTGTGGATGGAAGCATAGCTTGTTAATCTAGTGCTACTGCAAACTTGAAATGTTGTCAATATACAATTCCAGTTTTTTGAAGCCACCCCCTCTTGTTTTCTAATGAAGGAGGAGGATGGGACAAGAATTAGACTGTCGTTGATAATTGCAGGTTGCTCCGATGCCAAGTATCACAGATGCATAGGGATGATGCAGGCATACTTGGCTACTACCATCTGATGCCTGCAAGACCAGTTGCTGGCATCAAGGGGTGGGTGAGCCATTGCAGATTAACACCTCAGATCAAACTGTTCTGGGGGTAAAGTGGGAAGAGAAATAAGCGGTAGGGCAGCAAAAGGTTACCTCCTCAAATGGTGCTAAATCTTCCCCTAGACTTGGATCATTTACAGCTATTACTATTATTCTCAATCTTCCTCATTTTAAATTCCGTAGACATTTTTTCCCCTAGACAGATTTTTTGTTCCTGTTGTTGTGTACCTTCAAGTTGTTTCTGACTTATGGCAATGTTATCATGGAGTTTTCTTGGCAATATTTTCTCAGAGGGGTTTGCTATGACCTTTCTCTGAGGTTGCGAGCGTATGACTTGCCAATAGGTTTTGGTGGATGAGTGTGGTTTGTGAACCCTGGTCTCCAGATTCATAATCCAATGTTCAATTCACTACACTATGCTGACTCTGAGTAGCTGCCAGCATAATCCTTAATTGCTCTGACTGATGGGCCAGAGAATAGTGCTTGCAATGCTGATTTTAATAAGTTGCTATGAGTTTTGGCAATGTTCCAGAACCATTCTCTCCTGACATTTCACCCACATCTATGGCAGGCATCCTCAGGGATTGTGAGGTCTGTTGGAAACTAGGCAAGAGAGGTTTATACAGTTTATCTGTCCAGGGTGGAAGAAAGAACTCTTGTCTGTTTAAGGCAAGTGTGAATGTTGCAATTGGCCACCTTGATTAGCATTGAATGGCTTTGCAGCTTCAAAATCTGGCTGCTTCTTGACAGTGGGAATCCTTTGCTGGGAGGTGTTAGCTGGCCCTGATTTTTCCTGTCGAATTCCCCTGTTTTTTGAGTGTTACTCTTTATTTACTGTCCTGACTTTAGAGGTTTTTTTTTTTAATACTGGTAACCAGAGAGAATGCTTCTGGAACATGGTTATACAGCCCAGAAAACTCACAGCAGGAGAGAATATTTCTGGAACATGGCTATACAGCCCAGAAAACTCACAGCAGGAGAGAATATTTTTGGAAAAGAAAAGTCCCAGCAACAAACAAAATCTGGCTACCAGTATTAAAAATTACCTTTAAAACAGGATAGTATATAAAGAGCAACACTAAAAAAAGGTGAATTCCAGGCAAGAAACAATCAGGCCACCTAACACCTCTCAACAAAGGACCCTCCAGGGAGCAACCAGCCAGGCTTTGAAGCTACAAGGCCATTAAATGCTGATCAAGGTGGCCAATTGCAACATTCACACTTGCCTCAAGCAAACAAGAGTTCTTTCTCCCACCCTGGGCATTCCACAGATATATAAACTCCACTTGCCTAGTTTCCAACAGATCTCACAACCTCTGAGGATGCCTGCCATAGATGTGGGCAAAACGTCAGGAGAGAATGCTTCTGGAACATGACCATACAGCCTGGAAAACTCACAACAACCCAGTGATTCTAGCCATGAAAGCCTTTGACAACACACTGATGATAATGTTTGGGCAGGCTTATATTGGTAATGGCCAGTTTTTCAGATCACATGGTCAAGCAAGCTGAGTCTCAGAGGAGAGAGACATTGGGATACATTAACATATACAAAACTTAAAAACAGTGACAATATAACATAAAACTATAACCCTTAAGAATAACAAATTACAGGAATAACCTAATACTGTAGAGTTGATTTTTTTAAAATTACAATTTGTCCAATTATGTCCTGTCAAATGCTTGAGAGAGTGTTTATGGGAAATGCCTTAGTGATGATGGCTCTTCAGCGGTGGAACAGGCTGCCTTCAGAAGCTGTGAAATCTTCGACCCCTGACATTTTCAGAAAGAGATTAGACAGACACACCAGAGATACTTGGAGTGTAGAATATCCTGCCTTGGGCTGAGTAGTTAGACTGGGTCCAGTCCAATTCAATACCTATGATTCAATCACTGCACTCTTCAGCTGGCAAAATCATTTCTAGCTCAATTCCGAAAAGGACAGATTAATGAGAGTACATGACATTAGCCCCCTATGGTTTCAAGGACACAATCCAAGGCACCATTTTGATGATGATCTACTAGACAGCCCCCCTGAAAATGCGTACTCAGATGATCCTTGCCCTATGTTTACCTAATCAGAGCAAGCAGAAATCGTGACACATGTGTTTCTTCACTTACAGGTTGAACATCCTGTATCTTCCTAGCTCATACCATGGAAAATAACAATAGCATAATTTAAGAACAGCAGCAACAACAACCACGAAATCCATTATGTTGACAGATCTTGTGTACCTGAGTTTTTTCTTCCAAATATGGAAGAAAAAACTGTCGCAACTCAGGATAGATTCACCTTGCTCAGAACACCACCACACACCAAGGCTGTAGGTTTTGTAGTTTATTGAAGAAAAAGCAAAACCATAAACATAGAAATAGGGTTGCAAAAGTTCAATAGCCAAAACAGAGTCTTAAATGCAAAGGCAGAGTTTCCAAGGTCCAAAGGAAAATAACATGAAGTATAATCCACTGGCATTGGTCAAACAAAATCCATGGCAGCATGACAAAGTCCCCAGAAACCAAGATCGAAATCAAAGTCCCAAAGACCCAAAAGCTTTCCCCAAAAGCTGAGGCAATTCCAGAGATGTTAACAGGGTGTAAGCAAAGTTGCACTGACAAAGGATTGACTTCAATCACATCATTAAATATGTTTCCCTAGCATGAAAGCATTACGTTGACCTCGAACTTCCCGTTTGTTAGCAAGCCAAGCACTTCGGCGTACCCTTAATTGCAAACGGTCCTCCCTAATCAAATCCCCATCACCTTCAAGGCCGAATAACTCATTATCCTGGGACTGGCCACCCTGGGAATCGAGAGGCACTGAGCTCACAGATGAAGCAGCCGACTCCTCCACCTGCAGCTGTGAAGTTTCATTCAAATCATGACCATCTTCTAAAACAACATCCCTTTCTCTGGGAAACAGAAACGCCACCTCGTCTTCAGTATCAACACTGTCT